CGGCCTTTTGGGGATTAGGAGTTTGAGGATCGTTGGGGATTCAGGAATTGGGGAGATTGAGGAAGGGGAGGGTAATTGGGCCTCCGGTAACCTCACTTACATGACGAAACACAACGCAAGCGTTGCTTCACGTCGGTTTTCTGTGAGGCCATGGTATCACTCCGGTCGAGCCGTGTCATCATAATACAAAAGAAATTAGCCAAATTCACTAATATCAAAGACCAATAATTACCTTAAAATCTTTGTCAGTGTGCTACGCTATTCGTAGTTGCCGTAGCATTGGTGTAGCTGTCGTAGCATTGGCGTAGCAGTACTGCTGACTCGTAACACTCTCAACTACAATCTTATTTCTAAACTAGCTACTTCTGCACGATTAACCCGCTCTGCTCGGCTCCTATTAACTCGTCGAGTACCGTATTTATAGACACAATTAAAAAACAATAGGTTGCGGTCACCGGCGACCGCTTGGTGTTTGACAGTTTAAACGAAGCGTGAGGTTTTATTGCCTTCCTGTGACAAATGGACGATCCAATACAAAAAAAAATTCAAATCAGACCAGTAGTTCCTGATAGTAGCGCGTTTAAACAAACGAACAAACTTTTCAGCTTTATATAATAAAATATATAGTAAAGTATATACTATAAGTACTAACTTAAAAAAAAACAAACCAAAGTTTTGCAAATATGCACTATAAAAAAAATGTACCCCATTTTTGTGACACCCTATATGTTCAGAGGTAAAATTGCTGACAAAAGAAGCGGTGGCAGCCGGCTCAGTCGCCTGCAGCGTCGCCTAATATGCTAATACCAACCGAATAACAGACAAATGTAGAACGTAACCATTTCTGATATTGATAAAGTGTAACGAAATATTGTAAACAATGTTCTGATACATGGTATTGAGTTGTTTCGTTGAAAACAATTGCGATTTATGCTAATAATAATAAGTGTCATTTTCATTGGCTGCCTCTTTGGCCGAGTGGTCGCAAATGCGACTGCTGGCAAAGTTGTACTGGGTTTTTCAAAAATTCACAGTAGTAGCACGGAGTCTGGAATTGTGCCCGGTATATGGCAATAGGCTCACCCCCTATTATATGGGACTCATAACAAAAATAGTGAAAATTGGGTGTTACATATTTTACAGTGGCATCATGTACACCTCTGCTTACCACTTCGGAGATAAAAGGCGTGATGTTATGTTATGTAATTTTCATTTGAATGAATCCTTTGACAATTTTAGGCGAGTAATCGTTAAATAATAATTAGTTAACCTTGTGTTATTGATATATTTTTGTGATTGAAATTATTATTGGACTTTTTGGAAAAGTACATATTTATTTCACGCTGAAACCCAACACTTTACATTCTACATCAACCCTCAGGGAATTGTATAACAATGCCTCCATACACTACCTGCGATGTTACGCACACGTTATGCCACATAAAAATATAATCCTGCCAATTTGCATACACTTCCAATCGTTGAAGGAAATAGACATTTTATTTGATTGCTTTATTCCCTTATTTTCGGAATTTGTTTTGAGGACCAAGGTTCGATGTTCCCGAAGCCAGATAAATTTTAACTGAGAAATAACTTTGACATAACATCACGCTTTTTCATCCCCGAAGGGGTAGGCAGAGGTGCACATTTCGGCACTTAATGCCACTGTACAACGTAACACCCACTTTTCACTATTTATGTTATGGCTCCTATATAATAGGGGGTGAGCCCATTGCCATATACCGGGCACATTTCCAGACTCCGTGCTACTATTAAGATTTTTAAAAACTCAGTAATACTTTGCACGACCCGGGAATCGAAACCGAGACCCCTTGCCCTGCAGTCGCACTTGCGACCACTCGGCCAACGAGGCAACGAATAACTTTCAATATTTGACAATTATTCCATACTTAAAACTGTCAATAAATGATTGAAAAATCGGCCGTAAGTAAGTAGACAGTTCCTTATTGCTTCAATTGTTTTAGGTATATTGAACTGCATTAAGATTAATTAAGTCACTACAACAATCAAGACTTCTGAAGACCGCAGAACAAACAGCGCTGCTACCTGATATCTGTCAAATGTGTAAATTATGAATATCTATACCGTGGCGAGAAGGACTTAACAGGTTACCAGGGCTTGAAGTGCAGGAGTAAGAACGGAGTGGTTTTTAGTCAGTAAGAGTCTGACACTCCCTCCCGCCTCACCGGGGCGGGAGCAGTCATTCGATGATTTTCCACTCTTAAACAAAATACCTTTCCTTGTTATCTCTCGAATTGCTATACATTAATTTTCAGTAGGTACTCTAGGTAGGTACTGAATACAACAAAAACTAACCTTTATTTCAGTGACAGAAAAGGTATTCTTAAAATATTCAAAACAGAAATATCCCTAACTAAATTCAATACCCACTTCTAGTTACTTAGATCCCAGTGACGTCATCGCCCATAAAAATAAACAAAAAAGACTCGATACTTTATGCCCCACACGGGGCGACCATAAACTCAAATAGAACAGAAAGGTATAGTCGTAATGTTCGGAAAATTTTAAATTTTACGATCTCAAATACTTTTAAGGACTGCCTCGTTGGCCGAGTTGTCGCAAGTGCGACTGCCGGGCAAGGGGTCTCGGGTTCGATTCCCGGGTCGGGCAAAGTATTACTGGGTTTTTTAAAAATCTCAGTAGTAGCACGGAGTCTGGAAATGTGCCCGGTATATGGCAATAGGCTCACCCCCTATTACATGGGACTCATAACATAAATAGTGAAAAGTGGGTGTTACTTCTATGTGCACCTCTGCCTACCCCTTCGGGGATAAAAGGCGTGATGTTATGTTATGTTATGTTCAAATACTTTAATCGAGTTTTTATTGTCGTTTTAGTACGGAACCCGTTAAACAGCTTTTAAATATTGAATATGCGATTAATTGTCTGTGAACGTTTATGGAAAATTGTCTATGCTGAATATTTAGTACCTAGCTATTAGGTAAAGGTTTTTAGTCTGTTAGGTATTTATTGAATCTTATTTTTCTCAATAGCTTTAAGCCTTTCATTCTATAAAGATTTATTGACGAATGACCAACAAACTGAATGAGACGCCAATGTGTGAACGGCGTTTGTGGAGCGTGCCAAGATCTTTGATGTGTGCCCGAAAAACTGACAACATTCTGTTGTTCTGTCGGCCACCGCTGGCTTCAGCGTTGGCCGACCGACGCAGACAGCACAGTGCCAAGTACTTAGTCTTCCACACATTGGCCCAATGTGTAGACCCGCCTTTATGCTACCACTATATTGGAGATTAAGACCCTGCTTAGCACGACTCGTTGGCGGCTAATCGACAACTAGAAAATATTTTTCTCCATAGATTTCGGAAAACTCATCACTAGTTTTCATAAGATTTTCTTTATATTGTGTACAAGCTTCTGCCCGCGACTTCGTACGCGCAATCTCGTTTTCTCCCGTTTCCATAGGATTTTCAGGACTTTTTTCTGTCGTAAGAACCTTCTCCTGACAATAACAAACACAACAAAAAAAATCAGCCAAATCGGTCTAGCCGTTCTCAAGTTACGAGACGGTGTGACAAGAGGAAACAGGTTTCATTTTAATATACGTAAATAGATTATTTATCGGTGTGGTCCATGTAAACAAAAAACATTTTTACACACACACACACACACACACGCCCACATAAAAATTATAAAGGTATTCTGATTGAAATTGCTTTATACAATATATGTATTCGTACTTGCCTTCAAAACAATGTAGAAAAATCCATGAGCCAACAACAATAGAACGTCAGTTAGCCCATAGCAGATGTAAATTGAAAATTCTCAACGCCTCATAACAGAGAACTAGCAATATTTCAACGTCGAAACTAACGCTTGCGTCTTAAACCCAGTTTAAATGAAAACTAATTTTAATATTAATGCCACGTCTGACTGGTAGGAAGCTTTGAAAGGAAACTTAGATTAATATTACGTTATTAAAATGTGTTAGGTCGCGTCTGGGTTACTGAAGGATGTTTTTCTTGGAAGCTTGGAATTTATATTCTCGAGTTTGCGAATTAGAATTGAGTTGTTTTTTAACATAACATCACATGCACATTATACCACTGTACAATGTAACACCCACTTTTCACTATTCATGTTATGAGTCCCGTGTAATAGGGGGTGAGCCTATTGCCATATACCGGGTACAATTCCAAACTCCGCGCTACTACTGAGAATATTTAAAAACCCAGTAATACTGTGCCCGACCCGGGAATCGAACCCGAGACTCGGCAGTCGCACTTACGACCACTCGACGAGGCAGTAGTTGTTTTTTTCTTTGTAGAATTATCATAGGTATAATATGCAATGCAGTATACACTTTAGGTTTGTTGTGTTTAGTTTTCTGCAACTGTCTTTCTATAATAGAGCATTTCAGAAATCTTTATATTATTTTACAAGGCATTGATAAGATGCAATCACATAGGTACCTATATAATTTATTTTATCAAATGTGGGAGAGTCATACTTCGGCACGAATGGGCCGGCTCTACCGGAGTGATACCACAGCCTCACAATAAAACAACGTTTGCGTTGTGTTGCGTCGTGTGAGTAAGGTTAAATTAAGCCCCCTCCCCCAATCTCCCCAATCCCTGAATCCCCAACAATCCTCAAATTCCTAATCCCCAACAGGCCGGTAAGGCACTTGTAATGCCTCTGGTGTTCCAGGTGTCCATGAGCCACGATTGCTTACCATCAGGTGATCTGTCTGCTCGCTAACCGGCTTATTATCCCATAAACAAAAAAAAAATGTCGATTCCGATCTCGTTTCCGCGAACACAGTCTACGGCTTCAAACGTATAAGTTGTGTGTTATTATACGTTTGAAGGCGTAGTATGAGGCAACTGTACTCTCAATTTGGAATTCCAACTTGAATACTACTTTCATGGTAACCATGACATATCAGGGTGGAATGACAGAGGGAAAACAAGTAAGATTTTATCAATAAAAGAAACATACATTTTTAAATTCATTTTATTAGCTTACATACCATCAGCATGCAACTAACAAATAACAAAAATTGTTCTACTTATAATACCTTTAAATTATACCGATTCAATACAATTCTACTTTATATAAACATGCGCTATAGAATACAAATTATTTGTCATACACAAGTAGCGACATCTGTTATCAGAAATATAAAATACCAACTACCGTGTCGACCGATAGATGGCGTGTTACAAAATTTATCAAAGGCTGAAATTGAGCAACGACATTTAAAGCCTATTTACATTTTCTACCCGATTGCAGTGTTGTAATAAATATTATACCTAACGTAAATGGTACATTTGCCAGTTATGTATTATATTATTTTAAAGGTGAGGTTAACATGCGTTTTGTATATCCTACTAGATAAACATAGTGACTATTTGAGATATTATAAATAAAGGGTTGATTTTTCCAACGCCCAGATAATTTTATTCGAGGGATTGTTTTTCAAATTTGACAACATGCAAAGACTGTCAGTCAGTCAATGTCAATTTTATTCTACAAATAAAAATATCCGTTGATTGAAAAATCAGCCCTAAAAATGAATATGTAGATACATAGATAGACAAGTAAGGATATTACTAGCAATAACATATAAAAGGAGCATACATACTAAATTCTATGCTTAAATTATCTAATTTTACTAAAAATTACGCGTTACTCACGTAAATGCAGTGAGAAAAGCTCTACAAGTTTCGAGCCAAAGAGGTACATCGCCGCGACCGCGCACATAGCTCATGAGGAAGAGTCCCCCTGTGACTCGAAACTAGTAGAGGTTTTCTCAGTACACTTACGTGAGTAACTCGTAATTTTAGTTAATTTAGTATGTCTCACAATAGTTATTATAAATAAACTTAAATTATCTGCAATCGGGCATCAGAACGTGCAGATTCAATTTATCATACGGCTAATATTTTAGTGGCAGTTTTGTACGGATTCACACATAAAAATTTGAAGACAAACAAAAACGCTACAAGTATTTTACTTTGATCCCATTAAAATTTGAAAATTAAATTAAGTCTCTTGAGGGTATAAAATTTCTATGTTTACTTAGGTCCGTTTTTAAGTCATATTATAATTATACTTAAGATAAAACCGCCAGTTACAATTTAAAAACCTAACTACAGGTTGGCACCTAAATCACTTTTTTTCTAACATTTCCGATATATACTTTTACTACGAAAATATTAATTTACATCACATAATAAGAACATAATTAAAATGGACGATAAAAATTAAGTAATAAATTGTTTGAAACTATTTTTAATAGAAAAAATAATTGCATTGTCTGATGTTATAAAATATCTACTTATAGTAAGTAAAATCGAGTACCCGAACGCTTAATGTATAAAATTATAAATGTTATTTTACGTTTTCATTGTGCAAGTAGTGGTGAACTGGTGACGTCACAAGCGAACGAAGAAATATATTTTTTTTGCTATAGCATGTATTACAATTTCCAACCATATGAAGTTTGAAATAAAATTCAAAATTAAGTAACTTCATGTTCATGTGTGCCTGTAATAACCATAATATCTGTGACCGAATTTACGAATAAAAATCTAATAATCTTACTTGCAGCTAAAAAACCATTTAAAGGTAACTTATACTGCTTGCACATTGAAAACGCTATTAAATAAATGTATTAACCCCGAATTCTGCCAACCTACTCCAATGTACCAATTTTTTTCAACTTTATTGTATTGTTATAAGGTTGAAAATAATTGATAAATTAGGGTAGATCGACGTGACTCTATAAAGGTACGAAGAGACTACGACACTATACACTCAATGTATTTTTTATGGGATAAGTTGGTAAATAGGCAGTCTGATCACTTGAAACACCAGAGGTGTTAAAAGTGCGTTACCAGCCTTTTGGGAAATGGGAATTTGAGGATTTTGGGGATTGGGGAGACTGGGGAAGGCGGTGGTAATTGGCCTCCAGTAACCTCACTCACATGACAAAACTCAACGCAAGCGTTGTTTTACGTCAGTTTTCTGTGAGGCCGTGGTATCGCTTCGGTCGAGCCGGCCCATTCTTGCCTAGTCATGGCTCTCCCACATTTAAACATCGAATGTCTCTGTATGAACATCGAGTGTCTGTAATAGGAAAACTTATTGTGACACCACAACTAGTTTCGCATCAGTCGCCGTATAACTCTTATCATACGTATAAGTGTGAAAAGGAATTAATGTCAGACATTTATGTCACAATTTGTGTCGTAGTCTATTCGTACCTTAAATCAGTGATCAAATCTCATGTTATGCATTACTGATTGGACATATGGACCTTTCACATGTGACGGGAAATGCGTCGAGCGTATCATCAGTGAACGCTCGACGCACTAAACTTCACTAAAGCATCATCGGTTATTAGAATCAATCAATTACACATTAACATAAAACTCGATAGCCGATTTATAGACATAAAACGGGATTCAACACAAAATACCTACTAAGTATTAATTGGTTATTCAAATCCGAATAGTTATTTCTAAAAGAATTAAACCAAAATGAATCACATCAACTCTTTAAAGTCGAACAATCTAGAAAATCCCATTATTATTTGAAACATAGGGAAATTAAGAACATGGTGTTTAAATATTAATGGCATTACTACTGGGTGCGAAAGTGATGACAACACACACACAACATTACGCCTTTTATCCCCGAAGGGGTAGGCAGAGGTGCACACAGAAGTAACACCCACTTTTCACTATTTATGTTGAGTCCCATGTAATAGGGGGTGAGCTTATTGCCATATACAGGGCACATTTTCAGACTCCGTGCTACTACTGAGATTTTTTTTAAAACCCAGTGATACTTTGCCCGACCCGTGAATGAAACCCGAGACCCCTTGCCCGGCAGTCGCACTTGCGACCACTCGGCCATCGAGGCAGTGATGACAACGTGGACAATACAAACCAACTTAGTGGTTGTCAGCGCCAAGAGGAATAAAACAAAGAACGGCTATGGAACGGCTAAGAAGACGAGTTTATAAAACCGCGCTAGTGCAGATTGGATGCTAAAGACAAAGGACAAACATCACTGACCGCGTCCAGATGGAGAACATACCTTGTTGTTTCATTTTAAAGGCCTGCTATGCATTGCCATTACAATAGTTACGCCGCTGCTAGACAAGTGCTTATCTATTGAAAGCGAAAACCATTTAACGAACATTAGTTTTAATGAATATCTATATAAACAAAAATGAATTTCCATTCGTCTCACCAAATCTCGAGAACAGATGAACTCATTTGGCTAATATTGGTCTCGAAATGTTCGTGGTACCTTTTAAACAACACAAAAAAATTTTAGAAGGTACGAAGTTTGCCGTGTCACTAGTTGACACGGCAAACTTAAATTGCAATAAATAAAAAAAAATGCTTTAATTTTTTTACGTTTCGTTAACAAAAATCGAAATCGCGTTTCCCACCTCAGTGGTATAAAAATAATTTGGAAAACCCACTTTTATCAACATTTTTATTAAGTAAAGTAATCACGTAATAGATAAGCACTCGTCTAGACTCTAGACGCATAAAAAGATAAACAATAAAATATAAATCACTTAAATTAAAACAGTACTTAACAAAACGTATCAGACTTAAAAAGATTATAATAATAATAATTAATAAAAAATAAACTTATAGTTATAAGCAATTCCCTCCACATACTTGAAATCAATTTGTTTCTATTAAACATACGATAACTACATTAATTCAGACGTTTAAGAATATTTGGGAACCTAGTTATTTAGATACAATTATATATAATATATTTGTACAAAATTGGAGACAAAATGTGGGACAGACATAGGTGTCAAGTGACCTCAAACTAACAGGTTTTATTTTTAGGGTGGGATGCTAAGTGAAAACCAGTGCTAGCGCGAGACTCCAACTCAAAGCAGGAGTGGGAACGGGGTGGTTTTTAGTCAGTAAGAGTCTGACACTCCCTGTCACCTCACCGGGGCGGGAGAAGTCATTCGATGATTTTCCCCCGGGAAAAAAGTGTTTAGTTTTTACGTTAAACTTGCAATAAAAATAATAAAATGTCTCCTGATCAATTTGGAACAGAATATCTAAGATCTTTTTAAAATTTCAACCTTATTGTTCTGTTATAAAGTCTAAAATGATCTATCAGTTTGAGACAGCTTGAGATGTTACCAATTACGCAGATTATGGTGCACAAGTGTGTGAAAACACAAATGCACTCTTTGTTCCCTCAATCTCATAGTGCGATGGGACGGCAACCCGACACAACCAGAAAGAGATCAAGATTAGGACTGATGGCTTTACGTGCATCCCATCGCCTTTTAATTACGACTATCAGTGCTCTCTTGGATACCAATCCTTCAATGTCCTAATTCTCCTTTCATTTCCTAACTCTTATTCCTTCTTTGTTCCCTGGCTCCTCCATTCTTCTACTCTTATATTTACCGCTCCTACTCTCACACATATCTAATATGTAACTATATCTACAAGGGTATTAATTAAAAAATCTACCAATATTACATATTCACTACCATTTTTAGTATCAATTAATCTTTCATTCAACAACTATCATAGCTCCAGATAAAATACTTTTTTATTAAAAGAGGTTTTAACACATTTTGTCTCCAATTTAGTATACAGAACCTAAATCTGGATGCCCTAATACTGAAATGCTACTCCATTACAGTCAAAAGTCAGAATAGTCGGTCTGTCAGTTTGTCTCGCAGTTTTAATAGTGTCGATATATATGGATTGTCTCGCAGTTTTAATAAAGTTCATGGAGAAGAATAATTAAAACATTACATGGTCCAATTTCATTACCAAGTTGAATACCATTCCAATATTAGGGCAAAAATAAATTTAAATTAAGAGTCAGCATCTACTTTAAAGTTACCTCATACAAAACTATTGTTTTTTTGTACCTGGCAACAATTAATCAGCATCAGATGGATCCATTGGGTTAGGCCTAGGATTATTGACCACAGCTTCAGGATTGATCGTATGAACGGGTGCAGGATTCATTATTCTATTGCCATTTACTCTAGAAAGATCTAGAACAGGTAGACGGAGTATGTAGTCATTGTCCCATCCTCTGGGACGAGGTTCTGGCCATTGTATGACCCTGAAATCAGCTGAGGTCTGTCCTGAGGTGGTTGCAATAGGAGGAATGAGCCTCGGAATGCGTTGAGCAAGGGACTGAAGTCTGGAAGTTGGCCGTTCCTGCCTTGAAGAATCTGGTACAAAGTTTGGTACGTCTGGTCGACGGGGTGGTTCTGGCCTTTGTGCAGGGTTAGAGGCAAACATATGTTGGTACCTGGCTATTTCTGCTGGTAGAAGAGGTCTGGCGTCCCTACCGATTCGCTGGACGGTGATGTTTCGTGGTTGGTTCAGTGCTGCGAGAGCGGATGGATCGACTGGAGCGCTTGTCGGTTGAAGTATGAGGCTGTTCTGGTTCACTCGAGTGGAATTTGAGAAGTTTACTGCTATGAAGTCCGGTAACGGTACGCAGAATACTCCCAGTTCCTCCTGTAAATAATTGTAAACTCATTTTATTGACATTGAAAGCATAAAGCTTATATATACAGATACAGACATACAGTAGAAGTCCCAAATAAAAAGGATGAGGTATTTTCGATAGGACAATAATACTACATTATATCCATATATACATTATATTCTATCTTTTTAAAAAAATATCAATTCATATAAATTAAACGTATTAAGTACTCACCGTAGCATTAGGCGTCCTTTCCCCATTACTCTCAGGTATAGTCAAGAACGGCTTCCTATCGACTTCAGTAGAAGATTGCGCGGTCGTAGGAGACTTCACTTGTTTCTCCTCTTCTAATGGTACGTCTGGAACAACTTGTAAATCTTCTGGTGGGTTTGGAACTATCACGTAACTCGCTATTATACTTGAAAGTTGGTCTAATACCTGGAAGTAAAAAACTGAGTTTAACGCCATCTATTGGTTGAGAGTAGAATTTTAAGTAGTAAGTGTGATTATGTTAACCATTTTATTGGAATGATGAAATAAAATTATTATTAGTAGTAGCTATTGATTCCGGTTGTCATATGAATTACACTGTTACACATAATTATTATGGTTAGTAAAAAACCTTATAAATTAGATAGTAGGTTTAACCACGCAGGTTATGGAACGCTCAATACTAAAATCTAAACGACGAAGATGACATCTATATATTTTATTTATATGGACACATAACATAACATAACATCACGCCTTTTATCCTCGAAGGGGGGTAGGCAGAGGTGCACATTACGGCACTTAATGCCACTGTACAATGTAACACCCACTTTTCACTATTTATGTTATGAGTCCCATGTAATAGGGGGTGAGCCTATTGCCATATACCGGGCACAATTCCAGACTCCGTGCTACCACTGAAAATCTTTAAAAACCCAGTAATACTTTGCCCGACCCGGGAATCGAACCCGAGACCCCTTGCCCGGCAGTCACACTTGCGACCACTCGGCCAACGAGGCAGCCATAGCCATTGTTTATATGGAGTTTGTTAAAATTCTGTTCTTACCTCATCCGCTACCAATCTGTGCTTCGGATCTTTAACCAGCAACCGTTGTATTAGGAAAATAGTGTTGTCGGAGACTTGCACCGTGTTTCCATCCCTGGAATTAATTGAAAAGAATTAGCCATGATCTTTAATACTCCACGTAAAGTTTTTACTGTTCAGACCCTGAATACTCTAGATAAATGATGGGCCATCTTATCAAAAAGGTTGGTTTTATTTTGTGTATGTAGTAAACTACCTAACTACCAACCTTTTATAGCGTTAAGGCTCAAGTTTCAGTAATTTTTGTATTATTTGTTTACACTTTGTTACACACAGTGTCTTAGTTTTTACTGTGTTTCCTGTCGAAGGACTGCAGAAAGAGATTTTTACGGAAATATGCAGTACCTATGTACCTCCAATCTATTTAGGTATATATGTGTTCTCCTGTGTACTGTCCGTGTGTTGTGCACAAAATAAATAAACTTATGTAGGTGGGTATAACTGAGGTGATATCATTACTGTTTGATTTAAGATTTTGGAGAAGGACCGACATCAATCGACCTTGATATTGTGAATTTTCGTACTTATAAGTTGCAACACTAGCGCCCATTGCATCCGTAATGCGTGGATATTGAATATACTAAATAGTATTGAGTTTAGCTTTATATTCCGTAACCTGGATGCTATTTTAACAGTTAAGATTAGAGTTTTATAGTGTAGACATTAAATAATTACTGAGATTTTATTTGTCATAACATCACGCCTTTTATACCCGAAGGGGTAGGCAGAGGTGCACATTATGCCACACCCACTTTTCACTATATACGTTATGAGTCACATGTAATAGGGGGTGAGCCTATTGCCGTATACCGGGCACAATTCCAGACTCTGTGCTACTACTGAGAACTTAACCCAGTAATACTTTGCCCGACTCGGGAATCGAACCCGAGACCACTTGCCCGGCAGTCGCACTTGTGACTACTAGGCCGACGACTAGCAGAGATTTTATTTGTTTGAAATTTAATTGAGATTGGTTTCAAGAGTAAGCACTCTGTTCTTTATAGGCTCTTATGAAAAAAGGTTGACCACCATAACTTTACGGCACAGCAGATACCATCGAAAGTTACCACTAGGCATTAAGTCCGCCATTGTATACAATTGCAAGAAGTGTAAATAAATAAATAAAATTAAAAAAATAAAAAATACTCACGGTGGTATATTATAATTGGCAGCCTGTATCCGGCTAAAGAGCTGAGCAAGACTGGTATCGCAGAATGGGAACTGGCCGTACAGCATCGTATATAGGACGACTCCTAACGCCCACATGTCCGAGGGCTTGCCTAAGTACGGCTTACATAGGAGGACGTCGGGTGATATGTAGGCTGGAGATCCTGGAATAGAAATAAATCGTTATATTGGTGACTAGATGTGCACTGAATATGGGCTGAAATTATTAACTTTTATAATTATTATTCGCTAAAGGAGTATGTAGAGGTGCCTATAAGATAGTTATTTTAAACCAATTGGCCTTGGCCTATAAACTTTTTTTTTATATAAAACGTTGTCCCTCACTAGGGTTTTCTCCAGTGTCGTGGGTGCATTTACAAACATACAAATTCAGACACACATGACAGACCCGAAACAACATTTTGTGGATCACACCAATATTTGCTCCGTGCGGTAATTCTCAAATAATTTTAATTAAAAAGTATAATCCTGAAACTCTCTGTTTTATAAGTACATTTGAAATTATGTTACTTTTCCTGGCCCTATCCACCATGAAGGTTTTGTGCGTTCAATATTTATTTTATGCTGCAATATTGAAGGATAAATGTGATTAATGATTAGATTACCAGAATTAGTCCACAAATACAAATGTACCCAACTAGGTTATTTTTTGGTCAAGGTTGTTTTTATCATATCAAGGTTTGTATGACATTGACATAACTATAAATAACTCAACGACATATTTTTGTTATATTGAAACTGTTCGACGAAGTAACTCAACTAGTTTCGAGCTACGTAAGGACCCATAACTATGAACAGTATAACGTCACACCTAAATCGGCATGCGTAGGTTATTAACAACCTTCTACCGCCACAGTAAAATAGTTAAAATACAGTATTTATACCAACCTCGCTGATCCTTCAAGAGATCACGGTCACTGCCCAGGTGGGTACCCAAACAAAAGTTAGTGATTGTAATACGTCCCGTCCGTTGGTTCAGCACTATATTACCCAACTTTAAGTCTCGATGCACTATGTTCCTCTGTGAAAAAGAAAAAATATTTTAAAGTCAGTAATTAAAAGAGAGAAGTTTGGTTTAAACTTTGACTGCACTGTTGGCGCGGTGGCTGGGCCCCTGGCTGCCGCGCAATGTGTCGCGGGTTCGATTCCCGCACGGAACATCTCTTTGTGTGATCCAAAAATTGTTGTTCCAGGTCTGGGTGTTATGTGAACTTGTATGTTTGTAAACGCACCCACGACACAGGAGGAAATCCTAGTGTGGGACAAAGTTTTAAAAAAGAAATTGAAAATGAACTTAAGACATTTAAATAATAATGTTGGAACATATCTAGCCTTTAATTTAGCAAATAATGTATGTTCGATTTGTAATTCACCATTCTTTTTAGATTATTTAAAAAGCATTGCCCAACACTACTAGTTTCTCTTGTATTGTAACATACACATCTCATTCTGGTCAAACGGGCCATCAAATATATAAAACAAGACACGAAATTAACCCAATTTGTGGATCACACAAATTATTGCGCAATACGGGCCAATCATGTCGTAATCACGAAAAAATATAGTTCATACTTGTATCGAGCAAGAAATTACGTGTCGAGCGTGCTTGAATCGAACAGGCAAGTTCTTGTCTCACGATCATGAGCCAGCCCTATTATGAATTGACTCATACTCATTAGTATTTGATTTTTTATAAACTACGTCTTTAACTCTCTCTTTTTTGAAGTCGGTTAATTAATATACTAAAACCTTCTATTAAGTGTAACAAACACAGGTCATACTAAAAACATCCTATATTTTTAAGTAGGTTAAAAACGGACAACATTATGTATATTTCTTTTATTAAAACAAATATACATAATGGTCGCAAACGAGTTGACGGATAACCTGATTGTAAGCAATCGGCGCCACCCAGGAACATCAGGATTAGTGTTAGATATTGTTTTGTTATAGGCCTCTCCAATGGCACGCCACTGAGCTCGGTCTTCAGCTCTTCTCATCCATAATTTTTTTATAGATTTGTAGATTTGTGGAGGCCTATATACAGCAGTGGACGAATACGGGCTGATGATGATGATGATGATTGTTTTGTTATTTAGTCTTTTCTAAATACATTTTATCTTATACTATTATATAAAGCGGCAGTTTGTTTTTTTGTTTGTTTGTTTGAATGCGCCAATCTCCGTAACTACAAGTCTAATTTGAATAATTCTTTTTGTGTTGGATAGCGCATTTATCGAGGATGGCTATAGGCTATAAAACATCACGCTACGGCCAATAGGAGCTAAACAGAGCTTGTGAAACCGCGCGGAAGTAGCAAGTCTTTATTATAAAAGCCACTCACCTTATGCAAATTAGCGACGACTCTCACAATATCATAGAATATTAATATCGCTTCTTTTTCAGGAACTTTCTTGACTTTAGTGACATATTGCTGTAGGTTGACTAGCTCGGAGCCTTTCTCACTGAATTGGTGTTGACTGACGCAGTCCAACACGAGGAACAGTCGTTGGCGGACACGGCCAGTGTAGATGTACCCGTTGCCATTAGGATTTGGTACTTCTTCTAGCGCGTGGTCCTGTAGATTGAAGAGAAAATTATTACATCATTACGCCTTTTTGCCACTGTACAATGTAACACCCACTTCTCACTATTTGTGTTATGCTTATGAGTCCCATAATACCGGGCACAATTCCAGATTCCGTGCTACGACTGAGATTTTTTTTTAAACCCAGTAATAGTTTGTCCGACCCGGGAATCGAACCCGAGACCCCTTGCCGAGGCACACTTGCGACCACTCGGCCAACGAGGCAGTTAAGAGAAAATGTTAAAAGTAACATATTATTGTGACTGGGGTTACCGGAGTACCTCAAGGTAGGCTTAACATAGAGGCAATATTTTTTTAAATAATATTACTTTTGTCCAGAGAAGGATGTAAGCTTTTATTTTTACAATGCAGTGCAAACAAATAGAGACAAAAAATATAAGGATTTAAAATTTAAGCTTATTGAAACTAAATATTACTAAATTGAATATATACAACTTAAGATTAAAATTAATTATAAGAAAAAACAAAAACATCTATTTACATAAAGCGTCGAAAAATTCGTCCGCATCGACGTCAGTGGGGAAATTAATTGGCTTTAATTTTTTTTAAGTAATAGTTAGTTTTTAATTTAAGTTTTTTATTTGAATTAATGAATAAGCTTATTGCGAATTAAATCACATAAAATTCTCTATAGCTAATACAATTGCATACAAAAATACCCAACAAACCTTGAACAACCCGTGATGATGGATGACACCGTCCTGGTCCTTTAGTAACGACAGTAAGGAATACTCTGTATGCAACAGCATCTTGCCTTGCCTGTCATCTTGTGTTTCAGGCTGACCTTCATTTCGTAAGGTTAAGATCTTCACCTGAAAATAAAATATTTTACAGATAATTGTGTATCATTTGGCATTCCTTTGTCTCTGATCCACCCCAATGGGAGATAAGCATGACAATATTATGTATAGAGGTAAGTAAGTAGTATGATGTTATGAGCCTGGTAAAATATTTGAATATTATTTTTGATAAAAATTATGATGATTAAAATGACTAAATTGGGAACTTTTAGGCCAGGATGGTGGCAGTCGCAATTAAAACTGATTCACCAATAAGGAAGTCAAGTAATCAAAATAAAATTTGGGTACAATAGGAAAAAGTAAACACTTTTCCTATTAGACCCTGCTGGATAAGTGGATACCTACAATAAATTTAAAATCTTATCATGGAACAACATCATTATTTAAATTATGAACAAGTTTAATCCAGTTACAAATAACTAATATTAAATATGTTATCCTGATGCAAGTCACCTGAGCGTAATCTTGCACAATATTTGTAATTAATCATGTATGTACCTGTCGCTCTCTATCTTATTTATTTATTGTACATACCTTTACATACAAACATGCATAAAATCACATTGTTAGAATAAAATGATTATTATGTCATTTATTTATAGAATAATGTTCATGAGAGTATTAAACAGTTGAATTGAAAAAACAATATAGGTAATTGATTTTCTGTTGCGATTTTTATCTGCTTGCAATTTAAGAGATTGCTCTTAAGTCGTTGTTAAGAATGTTAGGATGGTAATAAATGAAAAGCATGCAATCCTGAAGAAGAAAGATTTTTCAAATTGCACAATTTCAGAGGTGTAGTATGAGCTTTTATAGAACAAGACCATGTTCTATAACAGCTCCACAACCAATCAGAGTGCTGAACACTGTCTCATTTCGATTACTTTTACCGTAAAACAAACTCGTATTAAGCACTCAGAGCTTATTGAATTGAAAGTAAACAATCAGAATCTTTCCTATACAATATTACTAGTATAGTTATATGTAGTTCAACAATTTTTATTTTAGTCATGAATTATATGAATAAATTATTATTAAATGGCAATCAATAATAATATGAAAACAAGGAAAGTAACTACAATAACCAGTTTCATAAGTATTACACAAAATACAGAAATAAATAATAACTATGTAGTGTTAGTACCCAGAATTGTTGCATCATTTTAAAATAAAAAAAAAAACATTAAACCTTTTTGCACAACAAAAAGGTTTAATGTTTAGTAATTAACCTCATTATAGTTTATTGGCAAAGCTAACCAAATAAATTATATTCAAATATGTAATAAGCAGATGAAGAGTATAAAATTTCATTTCATAAATTATGATTTATTCTTGTTTGGTGAATAAACAATGAATATAGGTACTGAAGAGCACAATAACAAAAATGTAGATAAATAAGTATTGTATTACAATGAACTTATAAAATGTCAATACACATAAAATTATTATGTTTCCAATGTTTACAAATATAAAGGTGATGATATCTTACCTGATAAAACTCATCTGTTCTCTCTTTCCTTGCTAAACACTGCACTATGCTTTTAACAGGACTGGGGCCAACTTTAGGCCCCAGCAGGTAAGGCCCAGCCTTACGAACATATTTGTCAGGTACTGGAGTACCTGGAGCTGGCACATCACTTTTGTTATAAGATACTTTAGCCCTTTTAGGAGAATGAGGGCCAAACTTTTTAGAGTTCTTCAACACCCCACTAGAGGTTGAACTTGCGTACGCTGATATTCTAGCAATCTTTGGACTTGGTTGCAGTAGCAAAGGTCGTGTCCTCTTTCCGGGATTCGAAGTATTCGAACTGCTTTCTGTCTTGTCTTGATCCATAACTTGTCTAATTTCACTCTCAAAATTCAACACCTATAAACGCCGTTATTCACACAATTCACGAACTAATTACTTGGAAAGTGTATGTTTTACTATTTTTTAACTTTGGATGTTCAGCGAACAGTTGTTACGAAGGAATAATGCAATATTGATGAATCTCATTTATTTACCTACGAAATGAAAATGTCTGATGTGTCGTTCAGAAACAATAGCAAATAACATTTTATTTAACGTTCAGAAAAAAGTAACTAAAGTTATTTTTCGATTTATTCTTTCATTGTTTACATATTATTCATAACAATAATTATCATTCCACTAGCTGTATTTCAAGCACTAATTAATTTTGCTTTTTTGCATAAAATATTAGAAACTTCGTTAGGCTGCGTTTCCACAGAAACTGAGGTGTGGTGCTGACAGAGCAGACTTACAAAAAATTACCAGTACAATCACATTGTCCAAAATACACATCTCATCACCACTCCGATTCAGTGGAAATAGTGTTAGCAAAGTTTGAGAAGATTGAAAGTACAAATAGACGATCGAACCGAACCGTCATTTTGTCCGCTTCGGAGTTCGGACCATATTTTAATAGTATGTCGGCGGGTCCGTCGCACATTTTCAATGGATATTACCGCACCGCCAAACCAAATTGTCGGTACGGTGACGGTTCGGTTCGTTCTTCTATTTATGCGTTTATTACATTAAACTGTATGGTAAGCGGAGATAAGCACGGCACAGTGGTGTTGAGCTTTAGCGGCGCTGTGCCGGGTGAAATGAGGCTCTACAATTCATGCCATGCCATGTTTCAGCTATGAGGCTGAGAGGGGCAACGCAATATAATAGGACTTTATTTCTGTTCAGAGACCAGTTGAGACCACATTACATCCTCTCTGTTCAACACAGTACTACTTAATTGAAAATAAAATGTATACGCTCAGCTAGTCGGTCGTCTCAGCTCCGGTTCGCTTGTCTCAGTTTTGCTCATGCTCAGTTCCCATTCAGTTATGCAGCTCAGCCCTGCACCCCTCATCACTGCGCAGTTTTAATGGAAACTCCGCGCAACTCTGCTTCTATGGAAACCACAGAAAATACACTGTCATCCACTCGGTAATAGCACAAGCACAGACGTATAACGTACTTATAGAGCAACACCTAAGGCGGTGAGAAGGCCCCAAGCCTAAGATGTATAGTGTACAATGTACATACCAATGATATTATAAATAATAAAAAGAGGCTTTATAATATCATTGGTACATACCAACCACGCGACATTGCCAGCTGGTGTGCAACATAACAGGTGGCTCGTTGCATGTTTTGATACGACATGCAGTTGAGTAAAAAATGTTGTTGAACAGCAGTAAAATTGTTGAGCTCGACACTTGAAAGCCTTAGTTTACAAACTCGAGAAATCTAAATGAGGGAAATGTTACTTAGTTGATTAGTTCCTAGGAGGCTTTATTTTTATAAACATTGAACTTAATCTACTGTCAATACAGTCTACACGCATGCTACACGCTCATAGATTTTTCATATTTTTCATTCCCATTTTCTGTTTCTGTCACTCTCATTCAACAGACTAAACGTCAAGATTCTAACAAATCTGTTTGCAAATGTCAAAAATGTTAAAAAAATATTAAAAGGGCAGCTTAAAATAATCTAAACGTGATTTACAGTTATAATAATTTGTGCATAATATCTTTTAAAAACAATATTTTCACAAAAACATCTCTTCGTGCAATATTTGCTATGCTAAATCAGTTTTATTCATTGTGTGTAGAGGTCTTTATTGCCTACATTGACAATTGACAGTTGGAATTTGTCAGATTTTCTAACCATGTTTGTCACGATATTTCTCGATAGTATTTTGTGATCCCGTTTCCTAAAGAATTGTGCAATAATAATTAAAAACAATTATTCCTGTATATAGATAGAAATAAAATCGCAGCAAAATGTGGAAAGGATTGAGATTAACACATTCTCAACTAACTCAGTTAACAAAATTTCATCATAATGGACCGAAATTTCAACCAGTCGGTGTTCCAGCGATAGATTCTGTTTTGAACCAGTGGTACGAATTCTGCAATAAGCCGCCTAAAGGGTTTGAAAAATATTTCCAGCCAGGTTCTAGTCAAAAATCTAAAACTCCAAGTGAAAAAGAAGCACCACCTGCGCCTTCAAAAGGTGCACAGCCTTCTCCTAAACCAAGTTCACCACAAGACAAATGGAACATGAACATGTTCAGTAACTCCAATAGTGGCGGCAATCGCAGTGGCTACGAAGGCCAGGACAAAGAAAAATGGATGCTGTTTGGTGCAATGGGTATTGTAGGGATACTAGCATCCATCGCATACTTTGAGCTGCGCTACAGAGAAATCAGTTGGCGAGACTTCGTCAACCTATACTTACATAAAGGCACTGTTGAAAAACTAGAAGTTATCAACAAAAAATGGGTGAGAGTGAAACTACACCCAGGAGCAGCTCTCGATGGCAAGGTAATCTGGTTTGCAATTGGAAGTGTAGACTCATTCGAAAGAAATTTAGAAAATGCACAAGTAGAAATGAGTGTTGAACCTCCAAACTTCTTGCCTGTTATCTATAAAACTGAGGTAGAGGCTTCAAGTTTAACAGGAATGCTACCAACCATACTTATTATAGGATTTTTAATTTATATGATGAGAAGATCAGCAGATATGATGGGCCGTGGGGGCAGAAGAGGTGGTGGCCTCTTTGGTGGTGTCATGGAGTCTACTGCTAAACTAATTAATCCCACTGATATTGGTGTTAAGTTCCAAGATGTTGCTGGGTGTGAAGAAGCTAAGATTGAGATTATGGAGTTTGTGAACTTCTTAAAAAATCCTCAGCAATATATTGACTTGGGAGCCAAAATTCCCAAGGGAGCCCTTCTCACTGGCCCTCCTGGTACTGGTAAAACCTTGCTAGCTAAGGCTACTGCAGGAGAGGCAAATGTGCCCTTCATCACAGTCTCAGGATCAGAGTTCTTGGAAATGTTTGTGGGTGTTGGACCTTCCAGAGTCCGTGATATGTTTGCAATGGCTCGTAAACATGCACCTTGCATTCTTTTCATTGATGAAATTGATGCTGTGGGTAGGAAAAGAGGAGGGCGTAGCTTTGGAGGTCACTCAGAACAGGAGAATACTTTGAACCAACTGTTGGTGGAGATGGATGGTTTTAATACAACAACGAATGTCGTGGTACTAGCTGCTACGAACAGAGTAGATATCCTGGACAAAGCTCTGCTAAGACCTGGCAGATTTGACAGGCAGATATTTGTGCCTGCACCAGACATCAAGGGCAGAGCTTCAATCTTCAAAGTACACTTGTCACCTCTGAAAACTACAATTGACAAGGAGAAGTTGGCTAGGAAGATGGCTGCACTCACACCAGGTATATTGACAATCATTATTTTCATCATGTGTTTATTATTTATTATTTATTTCCTGTCGTAGATGACTTCAGCGATGGTGAATATTTCATTGCTCTAAAAATCGTCATAAAAAATATGTTGCTATTACGTAGATAAACAAAGTAGAAAACTTCATAATTCTTTATATTTTTTATTATGCAAGTTGCACTAATATGGATGAAAATATTCAGAACAACAAATTGCCTATTTACCTATTTCTTGATTTCTTTTTTATTTTTGCTATTTCTGCGAAATGAGTTAAAAACTTTTTAATTTGTTTGGATTTACAACCTTTAATATTATTTTACTCAGCTCATGATACATATTTATCTTTCTTGGCATAGTATATTTTTTATTACACACCCATATTATCACCCATAACTGTCATTTAATATAGTTACAGGCTTTGCACACAATATTTTTCAACCACGATACAAATGCGGTACAATTTGTGTGCATTTGTGGTATGCCCGCACTGACAAGTGCGTTAAAAATGGCTGTGTGCAGAGACCCTTCATGAAATAGACTGAAATATTAGCACTTCAATCCTATGACGTATTCATTAACATATAAAATAATGACGTAATTTGTAAGAGTTGTTAAGCGTGTACTTATTGGTTAGCTAATCACGTTCAGATCTATGGTTCAGCGGTTGCGTGCTTGCGACAACTAAAGGGAAATGATTCATGGAACTTTAGATTACATCATATTTTTTGAGGGAGGAAAATCATCCATGACTTCTCCCGCCCTGGGTTAGGCGAGAGGGAGTGTCAGACTCTTACTGACAAAAAATCACCCCGTTCCTACTCCTGCTCTTTGAGCCGGAGCCTCAGCAACCCGTTACCAACTGTAGAAACTACACCTACACAAGCCTTGTACCTGATATAAGCTTTTATCGATCTCAAATGTCTTTATCTCGATTTGTATTCGATAAAAGTTTATCGATTATGCTAAATGTCACCAGTACTGCCCAGTACCCTACATGTCTTACCTACAGTTTTTGTTATTATCGAGCCCCATTCCGACTAATTGGATTGAACATTAAATTAAACGCATTGTCATGCCATGACAAAGCGTAAACGTCGAAAGATATTGTAGCCCTCGATTTTTAGTCTCCATTTTGTGACAACCACCATTTAAAATCAAGACGCGTTACGTTGGTTTGAAATAGATATCACAACACCACCACTTTTCTTCCTCGAAATAGTAGAAAGAAATTAAGTAATTTTATTATGTAGTCCCTATTTCTTGATCCAGCATTGTGTACAGAGATATATACAACAAAGTTATGTCAGCAAATCAACAGTCAATAAAAATATTGTTCTATCATTTTCCAGGTTTCACAGGCGCTGACATCGCAAACGTCTGCAATGAAGCCGCCCTCATCGCTGCTCGTGAGTTGGCTCACGACATCAACATGAAAAACTTCGAGCAAGCTATTGAGAGAGTCGTCGCAGGCATGGAAAAGAAATCCAATGTCCTCCAACCTGACGAGAGAAAGATTGTGGCATACCACGAGGCTGGCCACGCAGTCGCCGGCTGGTTCCTTAAACATGCTGATCCTCTACTTAAAGTATCCATCATCCCCAGAGGCAAAGGTCTCGGATACGCCCAATATTTACCGAAAGAACAATACCTCTACAGCAAAGAACAACTGTTCGACAGAATGTGTATGACATTAGGTGGAAGAGTCAGTGAAGAAATCTTTTTCAACAGAATAACAACGGGTGCCCAAGATGACCTGAAGAAAATAACACAAAGCGCGTACGCACAAATAGTCCACTACGGAATGAACCCTAAAGTAGGCAATGTATCATTCGAAATGCCTCAACCTGGCGAAATGGTAATCGACAAACCATATTCGGAAAAGACCGCAGAGTTAATTGATTCCGAAGTAAGAGAATTGATAAACGCCGCGCACGTGTTTACAACCGATTTATTAACGAAACATAAGGACAATATTGCCAAAGTTGCAGAAAGATTGCTGAAACAGGAGATTTTAAGTAGAGAGGACATGATTGAACTGCTTGGAAAGAGACCGTTCCCAGAAAAGAGCACTTACGAGGAGTTTGTGGAAGGCACGGGATCCTTAGACGAAGACACGTCATTACCCGAAGGCCTCAAGGAATGGAACAAGGAGAAAACAATAGTACCACCTCCAGAAAGTTTAAAACAGACGTCACCGAAACCATCTTCGACCACCAAGTAATAAAGTTAAGCCTTTATATTGTAGTTTGAGTATAGTCAGTTTTACGTGAAAATATTTTGAGTACCTTTAAGATGTAAAGGTATTTTCTTTGTTGCGTCTGTGGACGTTTGAAAATGACTTAGATTTGTTTTTGTAGAGAATGAAATGATTATCTGGGAATGGTATCAGCATTTACTTTCATCTGTTATATTTTCAAAGTGAAGACTTTAGAGATGATTGAAACTAACAGTAACCAATAATCAAATGTGTTGAACATTTTGTATAGCTACTTCACTGTTGATGTTTTGTACAATAAACAAATTCCAGTCTGCCAGTGTCATTTTAATTATTTTTTTATAATGTCGGTTTTAGTTGTAACCAAAAATCAACTATCAAGCATAGTCTTGTTTGCATTACGCATAAACGCTGTAAATTATTTCGAAAACAAATTATTGTCGTTGGCATGGTTAGATACGTAGTATTTGTGAGTGCTTTGTAAACTGAATTTAACTAAAATACAACTTAGGAATAAATTGTATCATCTTCTTTGACTATAATGTTAAAACTTTAGTTGAATGAGTGATAACTGATGTTGATTTATAACAATAGATTTTTATGTTGAACATTATTTTTTATTTCTGTATCACCTACTCACCTTTACCCTCAGTAATGATCATTTGAAAAGGGTTTTTCGAAATTGCTTTTGTACAGGTAGTATTGCATTTGCCAGACTAGTATCTTATAGACTACACCGTATTACATGACTGTAACTGGTGAAAATGCATTACGTAGGTCCACTTCTGCCTAGCCCATTGATAAACAGAAGGCTTCATTTCCCTCCTTGATCATGCCTTATTCCAACATTGCTCTGGATCTTCAATAGATTGCAGTAATATAATATTAGTAGTAAACTAAAATAACCGTAAAACTATTTCAATTTGGGATTATCGGCATCTCCGGAACTCCCCCTTAGCTTGCAAGTGGCTAGTTGCAACAAATGGTAAAATGCAGATATTTTTACCTTCCCGAAATGGGTACCTAAATAATTCATTTATTTTACTAAACTTCTAGAAGGGGAACCTCATCCAATGGTTTCTCCAGACGAGGCGAGAGGGAGTGTCAGACTCGTACTGACTAAAAACCACCCCGTCGTATTTCTACCCTTCGAGTCGGAGTCCCGGCAACCCGTTAAATCCTCCACGGCTCCAGGCTTGTAGTGGATAGAGTAGATTGTCCTGTTTTATACCTAGACGTCAATGTTCAAAAGTACTAACACATTTATTTGTTTGGTGTACTTACATACAATTGTACAATAAATTATTCTCATAACGTACGTATGTAGTTATATGTATACTTTGTAGTACTTAATTGACATGCGTACGAATCGGTACTAGTAAATGTTGAGAGTAGGTAGATGCTATCATGCAATGCGTCCGACCTTGGTTGATATTATGTTAGGTGTATGATGTAAAGCTTTCTTATGTAGGTACCGTGTTTAGTTTTATCGCGTAATAATTATATCCATGCTTTTAATTGTAATTTAGAAATGTATTCACCGGAACCGACTACTAAAATCGGCATGTGTATGTACCTAGATACAGACAGATAATATTTGGCGGCAAGTTGTCTACCATGTGATTGGTTAGTTTGTGTATTAAAATTTTAGGCGGGAAATATGACTCATGTAGGTACTTATAATAACAATGTGCGACTCTCGAATGTATTTACTTTGCCGCCATTAAGTACTCTACCAATAGGAAATTAACCTGATTGAAAATGGAGGAATGAGGAAATAGGTATTGTTAGCTGGATCAATAATATCGTTTCGGTTGTTAAAAAGATTAAAATAACTTACTACAATTCGAGTACCAATATATTTAATTGGCCACTGGCTGAAATTAAAAATTTACATTTGCCTCCCTTCCAAGTAAGTCGAATGTAATAGAGCAGGCACTCTTGCACGCGAAACAATATTCCTTAGCATTTCATTAGAAAAACGTCCAACAAGGAGGTACAATGCGACAGTGCCTGCTCTGTACAAAAATTGAAGGAACAACTTCAACAAAAAAAAACAGGGTTATATTAAAATTATAATATGAAAATATTCAAATATTAGCTGAAAATTCATCCAGCCTTATTCTGTTTATTTAAATATTCACTACATTTACTTTATACATCACCAATTTCTTAAGTAAATTCAGTTTTTGTACAATATAAAAAGAATCTTATATTATCATCTATGTTTACACGCGAGATGTGTATAACACGCCCGCCATCGCATTACAGCTTGATCTAACCGAGCGAACGAGAAATAAAGAGAAATCGTAACAAAATATTTAAAATTATGGTAATTATTACAAGTAACTACACTATTTTTATGTTCAACATTTTATGTCAATATTCATTATTATCTATACTTAATTGAAGCCTATGATATAACATTATAAATGATGAAAAAACATTTTTCTTCATGATATCATTCAACAATTAATCCATAACAACTTTCATCATCCTTTTACTCGTATCTATCGAACGGAAAATTATCACTAATCTCATTAACAACAAAATGTCCAATCAATGACAGTCTCTAATTTTTTCCCCTTTGGGTTTTCGGCCCCTCTTTTTACCGGCGGAAGTTACACCGGCTAGCGCCATTGCGGCGCGTTTCGCGAGACACGACTTACAGAACCAGTCTTCTGTTGCGCCAGGTTCTTCGGTGATACCAACACATACCCAATGGTACCAGCCATCGCAGCCGTCACAACCAATCATGGGCGAGCCATTGTCCGGCCGACCACATGCAGGACATACCCAAATCTTATTGCCACATTCATCTAAGTAATAGGGTGTGGGTAATGGACCTGCTGGTTTATCAATAGGCGCGGGGGGTGGCGGTGCAGGAGCTGGCGCAGGTTCCTCAGAAATCGACGCAACATCATCGTCAAAGTGCTCAACATGACCTTTCTTGTTCAACGGTTTTATTAATATCCTCTTATATTTCGAAGAGGATGATGGAGTAGTCTTCCGTGGAGGCGAGCTCCCCGAGGGTGGGGAGGACGAGTGACCTTCGATGTCTGCGATGTGGTTGTGTTTTGAATGCTTTTGTTTGGGTGGCCTCGTCACCAGCGCAGATATTTGCGCGAGTTCTGGAGAGCGACTATGCTCTCTGGATAGAGGCTCGTCTTTTATCGGTGATTCCTCATCCTCGTCATCCTTTTTCATCACCGGTTTAATATTTAACTTGTATAGATCTGGCGAACTTGGTGGCATTGGTGAATTTGAATTAGACGAACTTAGTTTAAGCGTGAGCTTTGGCACTAAGCCATCCGCTTGCTTTTCCTTCTTCTTTTCTTTCTTCTCTTTCTTAATTTTTTCTTTCAACTCTTGCCTTTCTTCCTTTTCCCTTTTCTTTTCTGACTTATCCTTGTTCTTGTCCTTTTTATCCTTTTTCTTCTTAATTTTTATGCCATCTTTGTCTTTATCCTTCTTTTCCTTTTTGTGTGATTTATCTTTCTTCTTCTCCGTATTTTCTGTTTCCTTTTCTTGCGGGATTTCCGGAGACGGTGCTCTGATAGGTTCTGGTATTGGCTCCGGTCTCTTTTCAATAATCGGTTCCGGAGTCGGCAAACGAGGCGGGATAGGAGACCGCCTAGGTGGCTCTTGTCTCACAGGGTCTATCTTTGGAGGATTTAATTCGATAGTTATATCTGGTGTCACCGGAGGCATTTTAAACATATTTGATTTATGATCTTTATGTGACTTGGACTTGTGTTTCTGTAAAATGTTTGGAATGGTTTGAGATTTGTGCTTGTCGTGTCTGTCCTTGTCTCTGCCCATCATAGATTTATGCATGCCTCTGTCATCATCATTATTATCAACAGGAATCACTTCTAAGCTAGGACGACGACGTAACATTGATGGTATTTTCATAGGAGAAGATCTAGATGTGTGAGGAAAGGTACCCATAGGAATAAGTGGATTTCGTATACCAGGATTAAGACCACCAGGCAAAAAACTAGGTCCAGGAATCAAACCAGGCCCACCGGCGCCTAATGCGAATGGATTGGTGAGCATATTTGAGGGTGGTAGCCCTCTCAGTGCAGGATTATTGGCTAATTCAGCCAAAAAGTCATTATTAGGAATTAACCCCGGTGTTGGTATTAAGCCTGGCCCAGGCATCAAACCCCTTCCTGGAGTCATACCAGGAGGAAAGAATGGGAAACCAGGTGGCATTTGTGGCAGTTTTGATTCATTCTTTGGCCTACTTGATTTGGGTGGCTTGACACCACTCATTTTCATACTTTGCTTTTCAGCTTGGGCTATCTCAAATGCTATTTGTTGTTGTTTCTTTAATAACTTTGCTTCAAGTTTTGCAGCTTTATCTTTCTTGTCCTTGTGTTTCTTCTCTTTTTTAATTTTTGGACTGACACTAGCTATATCTTTGGGATAAGGTACCTGCAGAGATTTATTAATTGATATACTAGGACGATGTTCTACTTGTGGGGCTTTTGACACCATGGGATGCACATCTACAGAATCATCATCAATATTTATCACTTCATCAGTCCTCAAGTCCATGACTTTAGATAAATCAACAGCACTATTATCATTATTGTTAACAATGGCCTCTTCTGTTTTCACTCTAACATGGTCTTGAGGTCTACTTTCACTTGCATTATCATGTGTAGAATTGTGTAACCTTGAGATCAATGAGTCAGACTGTAACTTTTCATGAACAACCTCTGGAGTGCTTCTATCTTCTTTTGATTTGTTCGATATCCTTTTAAATATATTTATCTTTGATCTATCTGGTTGAGAGGCCAATTTTTCCTCCTCATCAACAATTTCTTTCTTTATTTGCACTTCTGGTACAAATGAATTTGTGGAAGGTTGTGATTTATGTGCAACAGAATTAGCAACCAGCGGAGATTTTGAAATTGGTATTTTCCTTGGTACCGGAATTGCATCCTCAGCCAGAACTGAGTTTTTGGACATAACTGGAGGTGTCTGTAACGGCGGTTCAACAGGTTCCTGCTTGATATGAGGAACAGGTCGAATAGGTTCAGTCACAGGAGCTGGTGGTGGCATCACAGACCTAGATGGTTGTGGTGACGGAGGTACAGCTTTAGGCGCTGGCATGGTGACATGATTATGATGTGTAGGATGAACATCCTTATTTTTAATTGGATAACCTGGTGGAAACTTATTCAATTTACTACTATCCTTAGATTTACTACCCTCACCTTTATGACTCTTATCTTTTCTTTTACTTTTCATAACTTTGCCATTCAATAACTTATTCTTCTTAGATTTTTTATCACTTTTCTCTACTATTGGTGCTTTTATTACATTAGAATGATGTGAATTTACTTTGTGTTTATCAAACTGCTTTTCTGACATAACGGCTGGTGGCCGTGCCTCAGGCAGTTTACCCTCACGTGCCGGTGACAGGAATCCAGACATAGTCATCATTACACTGCTGATCTCTCTGGTCCTTTCCTCTTCATCCAAACGTAACCTTGGTCTTTTACTGTTTGGTAATGAAACTGGATCAGTGGGTCTCTTAAAGATTTCCTTGTTTTTATCTGGACTATCAGTGACTGAAATTTCTGGACTTGTACATGTTGCATTACTATTGTCAACATTATCAATGCCATTTTGACGGATTTCAACAGTTCCTGCAACAACTGGTGTATCCCGCTCTTTCTCTGGGTACATTGGTGGCAGGTGTTCATGCACATGCATGGGTCTTGTGACCACTTCATGGCTGCCAGGTTTGAGAAAGTTTAAATTAGATTCCTTAGGCTTTGGAAACTTCTCAGAGGTCACAGGCGGTGGCACAGGCGGGACGCACCTGGTATACTCTGACAACTCCGGTAAATTAATGTGTAGGTCACGAAATACTAATCCTAGGTCATGTAGATTTGGTTCAGTCCTATTAAATTGTTCGGCGTATCTATTGGCTTGAGTCCCAAGTGACCTTATGTACTTCTCCAGCACATGCACCAAAATGTCCAATGGAGTCGAGTTTATACCGTTCCATCCAATAGTTTGGCATATTTGCGCAACATTCCTTCGCAGTATCTCACGGGCGTACGCCTCTGACATTATGACACCAACAAGTTATCTGGAACAAACGAATATATCACATTTACTACGATAGTTCACTGCTAATTGAATAACAAACATATAATTTGACGTATTCATCATGTTTATATTAATAAAGAATCAAGTTACGAACGTTAGGACTCCTGAAACAGCGAATCTCATGATTTTTATACCTGCAAGTGTCTAGTAGTACAGAGTCGTGATTCCGAATGGGTGAAAATTTCAAGTTTGGAACACACATGTATGCTTCACTACAATCTTAAAAACTTAAGGATAATTTATAAAAACACATAAATCGTTTACAATGCAAAATAACGAAGTGTTTACGTAAAAACTTCTAAGCATTCTAAAAACACAGTGCCCCGTGCGCCATGATTGCATTTTGGGTTGTCAATGTTGAGTGTTGCTGCGATAAAATATTTTAAAGGCGGTATATTATAGTTAGGTACGTTCACATAGTAACTAATTTTGATACAGTATTTAACGCTTGCTACCCCAAAAAAATATCATAGTACCATGAATCGACCACGAAATGCAGGCATTATGTTTGAATTTTAAATTTTTTTTTAAATTACTTTCTAATATTCGATAAGACAGATATTTTCTAATTATATAAATTATAAGGCAATATAACAGTTTAATTACTAATATAGTTATAAAAAAAAAATATATTTCTTAGTTAATATTACTGTTTGTTTTAGTTAAGGTATTATTAATTTATTTAGTTTTGTGTTAAATATAATTCAAACTATCATTTAGTCTGTTTTCAAACAACGTTTCAAAAGTATTCCATGGGCGTTCTGTTCTAGTTATCTATCCTTGGTTAACACCTTCAAAAAAAGGCTGATTTAGTCTTTTGAAACCACGACTGTGGTACCTGGCTACTATAGGCTTACACGCAAAATACACACACATTGATACGAAGGACATCTGACGCGGGACATGGCTCGTCATTACAATTCTTAGGGTGTGTCCACACCTGCCAAATGCTCTGTGAATGGGCAGCAGATGTAGATGCACCCACCCATACATTACGGAGTTACAAGTACACGCATCAATACGCCACTAACATTTTGGTGCTTCAATCATCGAATTATAAATATAATCTAACTTCAATTACAATTTTGAATAGCAGGGTACGTTAATAACCGAGTTATGGCTTTGTTACTGTGTTTGTTACTAATGAAATTGATGAATAAAACAGATAAGAATAATTATTACAATTACAAACAAACTTCCCAAACCTATAAGATTTTCCAAAATAATCATACCATGAAAAAATAAACTGTATAACCGGCTGTTAAATCTGTAGAAAGTTCATTCCGAGCAATACTATTGAGAACAGGACGATTATTGAATTTGGCCACACATGAATTATTTTAATCGATTCTGGGTTCTCAATTTATACATTTGTAGTGACAAAAAACATCAGTGGCTTTTCAGTATTTTGTGTACTGAACTGAAACATCTTTAACAGTTAATGTAGATCATAGGGGATCTACATTAACTACATTACTACAAATCTGCATCACTCGATATCTTTTTTTACGGGATAAGTCGGTAACAAGCAGACGGATCACCTGATGGTAAGCAATCGGCCTCGCCTATGGACAGTCGAAACACCAGAGGTATTACAAGTGCGTTACCACCGGCCTTTTAGGGATTAGGAATTGGAGGGTTGTTTGGGATTCAGGGATTGAGGAGATAGGGGGGGGGGGCTTGTTGGACTTCCGGTAATCTCACCCACCCGACGATAACGAAATACAACGCCAACGTTGTTTGATGTCGGTGTTTTGAGAGGCTGTTGTATCCCTTCGGTCGAGCCGGCACATTCATTCCGAAGTATAGCTCACATTTAAAATTCAATCAATCTTTAAATAAAAAATAAATACAGTTTAACTAACACCCCCGGCTATAGCTAATTAAAAAAAAATGTGTTTTTAAACTTTAGTAAGGTTGTACTTGTTCTGCCATCTCCCACGTGGTGTTTATGGTTTTTGTGGAATTTATGGTGAATACTCGGAACAGGTTGAAACTTGAAAAAAAAAGTTACCTGACAGTTTGTCAAATCCTCTAATGGTCGACGGACTGTGATATGGTTTTTGTAGATAGAATATCTTAATTCTTCGTTTTTATACTTGAGATAAACGTTGAAACTCAAATAAATACGATAACTTCATAAATTCGTACCCGAAATTGTGCTAGACAATATGATAAGTCGATTGTTTTGAAGAATCACGTAGCGATTGGAAGACTTGAAGCGGAGTTTTGGCTTTTTAAATAACTTTTTTGATGATAAGTCTGTGGATTTTGTGGGTAGAGCGGTGAAGTTTGAAGATGACTACGTCTTCCGAGGACGTATTGCTCAGTGTTAGCTACGTGAGGTTCAAGAAGGGTGATGGCACTTTGTATGTTATGAACCAAAGGTTAGCATGGATGTTAGAAAACAGAGACACAGTTGCTGTATCACATAAATATGCTGACATTAAAAGTAAGTATTAAATACTGCACTATAACTCTTCTAATGTGACATATCACTTGAACATAAAATGAAGAAAATTTAGCTATCCTACATACTTCTGCATACATTGTTGTTCATGCAACCTTCATAGATAAATATATGACAGATTCTGTTTGTGTATCACTTGCCAGGTATTGCAGTACACAGATTACATATTCTACATCTTCGAAACTTGTCTTTTTATGTACTTGATGGTACTTCTATACATTTTCATATAGAGAAACAATTATAAAAACTATACAACATGAATAAATACTTCACAATGTCAATAGTATTAGGTGTTTTATCTATCGGCATATAGCATTATATCTGTCATCATCCTCTGTCATGTTATAAATCGTTGGTAGTGTTTTTGTACGCATTAATGTTGCGATCATGTGATACGAACTTCTTCCTAATAACTAATGCATGCAGAGTTATCATCTATCTATGGTGATTAATACTAAAGTGCACTCAACCTTGCTTCAGAAATATTTCAATGATTCATATTAAATTTATTATTCCGGAATGTTATGGAATATTATGTCTGGTTTATAATAGATTTTATTTTATCATTAATTGGGAGCAGTATTCTTATATTTAAAGTAAATTTATGCTCAAATCGTGGTGGACCAGAGGCTTAAGATGCATGCTTCTCATACATGAGGGTTCGTGTTCGAAACCTACCAATGACAAGAACCAATGTGACTTTTTCCGAGCTATATATCCTTTCTAAGATTATTTAGGCACCTGAATAATTTCTAATTATAAGTTTGAAATCACCAACCCGCATTGAGCAAGCATGGTGATTAATGCTCAAACCTTCTCAGTGTGAGAAGAGGCTACTTATAGGCCAGGCCAGCAGTGGCCACTAATAAGCTGTTGATGTGATGATGTAATGTGATTTGCTCAAATAATTAAATGGAATCTTTGCCAGAGTTTGTATTTCCTGAAGGGTATAACCTGGGTGTCTTCGAGGTCCGATGGTCCGATTGAATAGGTTGCTTGTGGGACGACATACTCCATCGTAGACCGCTTCATCGCTTACCACAAGGCGAGATAGTGATCAAACGTCGGCCCATCAAATATAAAAAAAATGGAATTAAGAATTTAAGAAATCAACACCTTTGATTCTATTCCAATGCACATTCAAAAATTAGTTTTTTTAATAAAGGGTTTCTTTATACTTAAGATTTAAAAAACTAAATTGAATATCAGTAGGTTTAATGTCTTCAATAGACCAATTTAAATCATTAGTATCATAAAAGTACCAACTGAATTACTGAATACATAGTATTTCTATCCAAGTTATGTTGTTCTTCTATTAAAGTAAAATGAACAGTATATCCATAAAAAACTATAAAAGATTAATGTTCTGTAATCTATTTCCATTCTTCACTGCACTATGACCATCCATAACTTGTTAATGTATTTGTAAATCAATACATTTTTGTATTTTGCAGCTTATTTCTTTGTTTCTAAGCACTAGATTAATAGTAATCTATCTAAAAAGGATGATTGTTACCATAGGATTGTTACCATTAGATAGCATTTTAGGATGTTTGATTTTCTATTACTATATTTATTTTTCTAATAACATATTAGACATACTGTCTCTTATTTCAATGTATTAGAATTTACACAATCTTACAATAAGAATGTTTTATTGATTTAATTTTTATTGGCTTACTTACTTGATTCCTCTTAGTCATTTCCATCATCGTTCCACAAGACAATCGGCGAAGCGTCATCAATTAGTGGTAGATGTACCTTGTGTACAGCTAAGAAGTGGAATTTTTTTCCAGTCTGTATTTACTGAAGGGTATACCTGGGGGTCTTCAAGGCCCGAGTGAATAGGTTATTTATGGGACGACATGCTCCATCGTAGACCGCATCATCGCTTACCACCAGGCGAGATAGCGGTCAAATGTCGGCCCATCAAATATATAATAAAAAATAATTAAATAGTTTTGCACATAACACACAAGACGTACTTAATGCCTAAGATATTCTCTGCCAGTCTACCTTAGGGTGGTACAGAGACATTTTTAATTGTTACTATTACATAGTTTTACTTGTTTGTTGTTTTACTTTTCAAAAGAGGAACCTATGGAGTTTCTTGCTTGTTCTTCTCCATCCGAATCTACATTTTGGAATGAGCACCTAGCTTCATTGACGGACAGACTGACAGACTATTATTTATTTTGTATTTGTTGATATTTCAAAAGCACCAAATTATGGTTTAACCTTTCGTTTATCTCAGCGTGAATCCATGCGAGACACAATGTATTTTCTATTGTGTTCTATATTGGTGCATTCAAGCGGTTAATTGAAATAAATGCTTTGACTTTATTGCAATCAATAACCCATAGTGTATATCAACCTATGTTGTTTTCACATATATGTATTTATACTATCTGCCTCATTGGCCGAGTGGTCGCAAGTGCGACTGCAGGCTAGGGGTCTCGGATTCGATTCCCGGGTCGGACATAGTATTACTGAGTTTTTTAATAATCACAGTAGTAGCACGGAGTCTGGAAATGTGTCCAGTATATGGCAACAGGCTCACCCCATATTAACATTAATAGTGAAAAGTGGGTGTTACATTGTACAGTGGCATAAAGTGCCGTAATGTGCGCCCCTGCCAACCCTTTCGGGGATAAAAGACGTGATGTTATGTTAAGCTTTTATTTAACTGGTTTTTTCTCATTTCAGCACAAAAAATATCCCCAGCGGGCAAAGCAAAAGTTCAATTACAAGTGGTGTTACACGATGGGACATGTTCTACGTTCCACTTCGTCAACCCAGCTGGTGCTGAAGCCCAGGCTAAAGATAGGGATCAAGTTAAAATGCTGCTGCAAAACTTACTGCCAAAGTTTAAGAGACAGATTGACGAAGAGCTGGAGATGAAGTCAAAGTAAGTGATTGAAGGTTTTATGGTTTAAACTAGATACTTCATGGATTTAACCCGCTCTGCTCGGAACCTAATGACAGTAGTGGGATGTTTAATAGCCTAAAACCTTTCGCGATAAATGCGCTATCCAATACAAAAATAAATTTTCAAATCAGACCAGTAGTTCTTGCAAACAAACTCTTTAGCTATACCTATATAATTTATTTATTTAAACTTTATTGCACATATACCACAATGCATTAAGCCCGCCAATTTCACAAAGTCGGCGTAGATGCCGAAAAAATGCCGTAGGCATTCTCTGACAGTCAATTTTTATTTATTTATTTATTTATTTATTTATCATTTCATGTACCCACACCATACAGACAATATTACAAGAGACAACACATTACAACCATGAGGTACATAGGTACTGCATATCCCTTAAGGGATTTCTTCCTGCAGACCATTGGATGGTGCAGAATGTAAAAATATAATAATTAGTATAAAGATAAATTATTTTAATGTATTCTAACAGTCATAAGTGTGATAGATATAATATGTGCAAGGTGCAAGAATATAATATATATACATACATACATACATACATAACTTCACGCCTTTCTCCCATGGGGGTAGACAGAGACTAAGGAACGCCAATTACCACGATTCTTACATACCTCTTTCACTTCATTAACAGTCATCAATCTTTTCATGCATGCTCGTCATGTAAATATATATATAATATATAAATATATACATAATATATATTTACATCAAAAATTACATACATAATAATGTTATTATGCCCTAGTTGCCTTATGAGTCCACTAGCCAGACATATGAAACTGCCTAAGTATAATTCACATGGCTGATCTTAAAGTCATTGGGAAAGACCTATGCACAGCAGTGAATGCCTCATGGTTACTATGATATTGATGAACATAGTATGCACTTAAATATTGAAAACTTATTTTGTATTGACTGTGAAATACACACCGATGTTGCACTCTAAAAATTTTATATCAGTGAAAATTAATTATAGAGGCAATTTAACCGTCATAAACTTGAATTGAAAATGCAATCCAGATGTTTACATTTCTTTTGAAAATATTGGTTTATATTGCCTTGTAACTGAGCCAAATTCAGAATGTGGATAGTGTTCAGTTTAATAATAGCAGAATAACATTTTTAACCTTTCTTTGACATTGCATGGAAATGAATGTAGTGTAATGCAAATATGTTTTAAAAAAGTATTCTTAGTTTACTGCGCCACAATTTGTGGGTTTGGTTTGTACTATATGATGTTATAGACATATACATATATATATATATATGTCATCATCTTCATCGTGATCAGCCTGTGTTCGTCCATACTGGACATGGTTTCTCTACTGGCATGCCACTGAGCTCGATATTCAGCTCTTCTCATCCAACGACTGCCATATTATTATGTATGTTGTATAAAATAATTGTTTCAGCTTCTAAATACAAACAAATCTATTTATTTCCATTTTGTTCACATATACTTAATATAAGCTTGATATTTAAGTAGTCTAAGTAGGTTACAATACAATATAATAGAGAACAACAATATTATTTTAATTTTAATTATCGAATATAAAAAAAACAATCACAAATTGAAGCCCTACAATTGACTTTATTAGTTAGGTATTTATAATATAAGGAAAATGTATGAACAACAAGAAGAGACACTAAAACTTTTTTTTTCTATTTTTTATCAGTGTTTATAAAACATTTAGCTGCATTGAACTCAATGAATTTGTCTTCCTACTGGCTGTTAAATCGGTCTATGAGGTTAGGTACACTGCTCCTCTTCAGTCTTGCAAATTGGATACTTCCAGATCACTATAACTTTGTAGCAAGGGTATTGACATGCTTAGATAAATTTTTCTGATAGTTTGAACCTCTGAGAAATTTCTTGTTTATTATTTATGTATTTACATTAAAATGACAGTTTACAGCAAGAGCCAAAATACTTACATTCTAGGATACAAAAAAGAAACTTAAACCTATTACAATATTCATCACTTAGATAGTTCCTACATTATTGAGATTTATATTTAAAAACTTATACATTAATTTCCGTATGACATACGACTTATCGTGGAACACATCTAATTCTGGATGCTGAGTGGACTGTTTAACAGTTTTTAGGTGTTGTAAAATGTATTTGTTGTTAGTGCTTTTGGGTATATTGAACATGTATCTCATTACCTTCCATTGAAACCTTTCAAGAATTTCTATATTGCTAATTGCTAGTACTTGCTGTTCCTCAGAACTCAATACCGTATGTTCAGACCGGTTTCAGGATAGCCTTGTATACTAAAACTAATGGAGAAAATTAAATAAACCCTACTAGAAAAGTATTTTTGTTCGCTACTGATAGTTTGAGTGTATTGATCATTAGCTTAATGACTATAGATAAGGAAATTCTCAGTATCATCAAAATTGTGACCAGCACGTTTGTGGCAAATGGCAACAGACTAGCTTTCTACAAAAGGCGACCTGTAACCAATCGAATAAATTAAATAATTTAAATTATAGTGGGCGTCCACTCACAGAGTCCGGTCAGTAGCACTCTGATATACTTAAACCATTCAAACTGCAATCTTCAACCCCTGTGCTAAGCATGGAGATTGTGGCTAAGGAGACGGAGGCCCAGTCTCCAAATTCAATCACTTTAATGCATCTATAGTATACATGTTATTCTACAATGGATTGAAACAGGCAGTGGATGTTCGGCATCTTACCTGCCTACCCATAATGAATATATAATATGTGAATCTTTATCTTTCAGACTATTATCATTACATCCTACATTGAAGCATTTATATGAAGACTTGGTGATATCGAAGGTGATAAATAGTGAGGAATACTGGAACACACCCACACTCAAAACGTATACGGAATCTAATAATATTAAGCAGGAAGCTGGTATGTGATATTTGTATAATCTATGGTACGGTGGGTGGGCAATCTGGTTCGATTCCCGCACGGAACAACTCTGTGTGATCCACAAGTTGTTGTTTTGGATCCGGGTGTCTTGTGTATGTTTGTTAACACACCCATGACACAGGAGAAAACACTAGTTTGTTTATGTTGTCCACATATAAATTAATATACTTTTTTTTCACAAATGATTAAAAATATTTGTTATGTTTAATTATTGTATTGATATGATGAGGTTCACAATTTAAAAATATTAAAAAAACTATTTTTTGTAGACATTAAAACGTTTATAGGTACTTGACGCAACGCAAAGACCTTTTCGTATAAAGTAATCGAAACGAAACCGCGTTGGGCGTTGCGATTGGTTGGTTCATTGAAGCCGGCCAATCAGTGCGCCGAACGCGGTCTCGTTGTAAACTTATTAAAGAATTAATTTAAAGAATTAATAAAATAATTTTATTGTGAACCTGATTGAAAAAGAGTAACCTATGGAGTTTCTAATCTATAAATCAAGGTATACCTTGGAATGAGCAAAGAGCTTTTTTTTAATGTTTTTTTATTGTAGTGCAAAAGTGCCTTCCTGGTCTAATTGAAATAAATGGTTTTGACTTTGACTTTTGACTCAAAACCTGACGTATCTCTTAAATATCCTTGGTCTGTCCACTGTAAAACCAAAACCGTGTATTTCTCATTACAAACAAATAAACAAAGTACTCACTAATAGAAATTATACTCAATCTATTTTCTCTACAGGTGTGTCCGGAGCATTTTTAGCGGATATACAGCCGCAAACTGACGGTTGTAACGGATTGAAATACAACCTTACTCAAGACATAATAGACGCTATATTTAAAACGTATCCTGCTGTCAGAAAGAAACATGTTGATTATGTACCGAATAAAATGACTGAAGCCGAGTTTTGGACTAAGTTTTTTCAGTCTCATTATTTTCACAGGTCAGTTGTTTGTTTGTTCTGTTTGTCAATTTATGTGAAACTAACTTTTGTTTTTATAATAACTATCGTGAGACATATTAAATTAACTAAAAAGCGCCGTCGCGCGATGTCGCGTAGCACAGTAGGCTGCTCCTCTGCTCGTTGCTCATGAGGATAAGAACCCTTCTGTAGTTCGAAACTAGTAGAGCTTTTCTCAGTACATACTTTCACATAAGTGACCCGCGATTTTTAATCAAACTAACTTTTAACAGCGTATTCCTGTTTTATTCCATAGGAGCATTTAATCGGGATAAATATCTTATCGCCTAAGTCAGTCCATACCCTGTCTGTATACCAAATTTCATCAAAATTCGTTCAGTAGTTTCAACATGGTTGACGGACAAACATGCAAACAAAGAAACTTTAACATTTATAATATTATCTGTTTATAAAAGCTATACAAATAAAATGAAGAAGTTTGTGTTTATTGAGTAATGTTTGTAAATTATAATAAAAAAAGGAAAATAACTGTGCTCTCTACTATTTTTCTTTGAATTTTAAGATCGAAAAAGAAGTAAAATATAAATAAAAAGTGATGAGATTGTTTTGATCATGTTAAAGCCATAAAGTAATATAAAATATTGTTTAATTAACATAATGTTATGTTTATTAAGGCACACGTAACAACCTCGGCTTCGGCACCGTTCCAACCCAGCAATGTCGTTATCATTTAAATATGAACTTTAAATCGTACGTCCTATGATATATTTCATAACGTCAATATTAAAAAGCTGTAAGCTCCCCCCGCGCGGTTACAACCTTTTTGTATTATTTGCAAGGCAAAAACGCCGTGCCGAAGCCGTGATTGTGACCTACCTTTCCTACTGGCCTTTAGATTTTCAATCATCAGTCATCTATTTTCTATCTTTCGTACTGTTTCTTCCAGAGACCGCATTGCCTCATCGTCTAGTAAAGATTTGTTTGGAGAATGTGCCAAATTGGATGACCAGGCTATTGCCTCAGCCATGAAACATACTACTCTAGATCTCACAGTAAGTTACTATCTCGTATAACTTCAGTCGCCAATAAGAATCAAATATTCTATTCAAAATTGGGTCCTTTCCTTGATCAAAAATTATGATTCCAACTGTTCAATACAATGAAATATATTAAAAAAATAATCTCGAATTTCATTAATCGATTTTATGACCAACTTCATTTTAGTATTTTTCCAGCAAATTTTTAAGAAAACGTGACGCTAAAAAATGTGACGTCACAATACACAATCTCGTACAAAATTGATAGAAAACTGTCATTTTCAACCGACTTCCGAAAAAGGAGGAGGTTATCATTGACAGTTCGAGTTGAAAAGTATTGAATTTCATTAGTTAGACAAGTACCCAATTTATTTCAACACAGACCCACCAGACATATTTTATTGCACTCTGTACTGAGATTCTTTAAAGGAGTCTTCACACACCTAATGGGCTTGAACTCAACATCCCTTGCTCATTATCATATCAGCCATAGGACGTCACTGTTGAACATAGGCCTCCCCCAATGACTTCCAGATAGGCCTACATCCAGCGGCTCCCTGCGACCTTGCCAATGCTCGATAGACACCCAACAAAGCTGACAAACATACCTTTTATCAATTATAAAAATATCTTCTTCCAGGTCGACCTCCCACAGTTCACGGAAAACATCCCCTTACTACCGTCAGAAGATGAAATAGCGCCAGAGAAGGAGAAAGGAGACAATGCATCTATACACAGAAACATGATCAAGCGGTTCAATCAACATTCTATAATGGTTCGTTACTGATCTTCTCTTACTGAAGGTATTGCTAGATCGAAAAAAGAGAAAGAAAAATATTTATGGTACAATTGATAATTATCTTGGCTTGACATTAGTCAAAAGTGGCTATTTTGTAGTAGATATGTTACTGAAGTAAAATGCGGCTAAACTAATTAACTATATTACATAAAATAATGCAATAAAGGCTTAAAATTTGTTTGAGTCAGATATATGTATTATTTGAGGCTCAAAAAAGTTCTCAATACTAAAATTGATAGAAAATCCGTAATAACATAACATCACGCCTTTTATCCCCGAAGAGGTAGGCAGAGGTGCACATTACGGCGCTTAATGCCACTGTAAAATGTAACACCCACTTTCCACTGTTTATGTTATGAGTCTCATGGAATAAGTTAGCCTATTGCCATCATCATATTAATATCCAGACTAAATTATTTGACAAGGATCTCGACTCTTTCAAACCATGCTAGAGGCTAGTAGCATTCCGCGACGTACGACGGGGCGACTGTCGCGCTGCTACTCTAGTATGGCTTGAGTAAGCCAAAAACACAATCATTAATATTGAATGTCTCACGAAAGTTATAATATAAATATCCAGACTTTACAAACATGATTACGATTAAAAATTAGATAGAAGATTTGACGAAGGTTCGACTACTGCACGGAGCAACTCAACTCCTTGTGTGATCTAAAAATTGTTGTTCCGGGTTTAGGTGTCATGTGTATGTAAACTTGTATATTTGCAAACGCACCCACGACACAGGAGAAAATCCTAGTGTGGGGAAACAATTTTTTTTTATGGCATAAGCCGGTAAACGATCAGACGGATCACCTGATGGTAAGCAATCGGCGTCGCCCATGGACACCCGTAACACCAGAGGCGTTACAAGTGCGTTACCGGCCTTTTGGGGATTAGGAGTTTGAAGACCGTTGGGGATTCAGGGATTGGGGAGATTGGGAAAGGGGAAGGTAATTGGGCCTCCGGTAACCTCAATCACACGACGAAACACAACGCAAGCGTTGTTTCACGTCGGTTTTCTATGAGGCCGTGGTATCACTCCGGTCGAGCCGGACCATTCGTGCCGAAGCATGGCTCTCCCACACTTAAACAATTACAATTTATACACTGGATTAAAAAAAAACAAATATTCAAATATCTTCTAACCTCTTTCAGGTGCTCAAAGCTAGTCATAAAACAAATTCTAGTAATAATAATAATAACTCAAGTAGTAAAACGACAAATAACAACAAAGTCGTCGAGAACGGTGTTAAGGAATCGAATGGAGTAGCAGAGAAGAGAACAGCAGAAGAGAGTAGTACAGAAGCACCGGACAAGAAGAAGAGAATATTAGAGAAGATACATTATGAAGATCTAGAAGATAAGCCGGGTAATGAGGATGCACAGGAATTGAAATTGTCTAAGGTAAGATGGAAACCATGCTTGTATTATGGCTTTTAAGAATATTTACCGACTTCAAAAAAAGAAGAGGTACTATGTTCAGATGAAGGTTTTTTAAAAATGATTTTCAATTTATTCTGTGTTAGTCTAGTAGTGTTGTTCTATCCTACTTCCCTCTAGTGGTTTTGCAGTCCAAAGTGGATTGATTATATCTATTTGATTTTATAGTTAGTATTTTTGACATACACAGTCTTAAAGATTGTCGCGGAGAACCTAACGGGTTACCGGGGCTCCGGCTCGACGTGCAGGAGAAGGAACGGGGTGGTTTTTAGTCAGTAAGAGTCTGACACTCCCTCTCACCTCACCTAGGCGGGAGCAGTCATTCGATGATTTTCCCCCTTAAAAAAGTCTTAAAGATTCCATTATAAAACGGGTAATTCTGACAACTTCGAACCCTTTACCAGACGAAAATACCAACCAAAAAAGTACAAAGACCAGAGAATCGTTGCTAATTACTCGCGAATCACTTATGACGATTTTACATAATATTTATGGTTATTAAAATAATAAAAATATTTATATACTTACAGATAGAAAGATACCTCCTAGGACCGTCGAGTCAGTCGCAGCAAACACACACACATACACACAACGCACCTCCTTTATCGGCGCTCTCTTCGATATGTCAGGTATGTATTACTTCTATTAGTTCTACTAAAAAACTGTATTCAAATATTTGTTATTTTTTACTAATATTATTATGGTGATAAGCCTAATGCATCATCATCAACATAATAATTATCACCTACCGGGCGTCCATTGTTTTACATAGGCTGATTGTTATATCCTAATTGCTAATATTCTAATTATGTACGATTAATTAAGCTATGTTGTTAATCACTGACTGACTTTCATTTGACCCTTCTTTAATATATAGCTAATCTAGTCAGTATATGCCCATCTAGGAAAGATTTTCATGTGTTAAAATGTCAGACCGAATATTAACGTATGTATGTTAGACGTAACGGATATAAAGATGATTAGTTCCGTAAAATTAAATGCATAAACTAATAAACCTTTTTCGAAACGGAGGAACCCAATTTTTAGAGTTGAGAAATGTAAGTAGGTATTATGTTATGATACAGGCATGGTCAAGCGGCCAGCAATGTCAGCGTCCGGTGCGAGTGAGTGCGAGCGCGTGTGTGGGCGCGCTCGGGGAGCTCAGTCCCGGCGGGGCACTCATGAGGCATCATCAGGCCGCTTCTATGGCGCGTGAGTATTGCATGTAGTCTAATCAACCTGTTTTTTACCGAAGTAAAGTTGACCTACTGTAGCTACTAATAGGGGTTAAATTGAAACTCCGTAATTAGTGCTTGACCTGCTGGTTTATATTTATATTCTTTTTGGTGCGAACTTACATCTCGTTGTACATACAAAAAATGACCATCTTAAGCAAATCGATGTAACGAAACCATAGCTTGCATTTAATCGCGGCAACGCCATCTAGTTATAAAAATTGAACTAAATTAATGAACTTGCATTTTATGGTTTCGTTACTTTGGTCTTGAGTTTTGGTCATCAACATACCGCCCACCAAGGCCGTTTAGTGATGAAATGGCCTTCAAAAATTACACTGAAAACTAACAATTGGGCTTTAGGTGTAACTGACAATTGATCTTATTAAATTAACTCATTTTACACTATTAAAATTAACAGTTCTTAAGAGTAGTTAACAATATTTTTGTAACTAAAACATCTCAAACGAAGTTGATCTATAGGACTTAAATTTTACAAAACAAAAAAGCAATTCATTGATCTGAAATAGGTAGAATGCATATTTTTGATGTTGGCCTCTTTATCACAGAAGATTTTGTACGCAATGTGACTACACGGGTTACGTTATCAGCACCGGGATGTTTTTCAACAACACGACCCAATAACCAACGACTAGGCGGTAAATCGTCCTCTTTGATTAATACGACGTCACCTATATTAGGTTCTGGAACCTTTGAAGCCCATTTGTATCTATTCATGAGATTGGATAAATACTCATGTGACCATCTTTTCCAAAAAGACTGCAACATGCGTTGAACAAATTGCCACCGAGTCAAGCAATTCACATTTGAACCTTCATAATTTCTGTCTGGTACATTAATTAATGGTTCTCCTATGAGAAAATGTCCAGGGGTTAAAGGCAGTGGCTCACCAGGATCAGTAAAGTTGATAACACTAATGGGTCTCGAATTTAGGCAGGCTTCCACTTGATTGAGAAAAGTGGTAAGCTCCTCATAAGTCAGGGTGGAGTCCCCAATAACTCTCTTTAAGTGAAACTTGGTGGATTTCACCCCTGCCTCCCAAAGACCACCAAAATTGGGCGAGTGAGGCGGAATAAAATGCCATTCAGTGTTATTTGCCTCCAAGTATTCTGCTATTGCTGGCTGAATGGAAGCTAGCTCTTGTAGCTCTCGGGAGGCACCTATAAAATTAGTGCCGTTATCGCTCCATAATTTAGCACAGTGACCACGACGAGACACAAACCGTCGAAAAGCGGCCAGAAATGCCTGTGTACTCATATCACTAACTACTTCCAAGTGAATGGCGCGAGTGGACATACATATAAAAAGGCAAATGTAACCCTTGTAAGCGTGATGTCCGCGTCCTTTAGTTGTCCTAATACTGATGGGCCCCGCGTAATCCACGCCGCTGTGTAAGAAGGGTCTTGCTGGGGTGCAACGAACTGATGGGAGATCACCCATGAGTTGGTTCCTGACGCTAGCTCTCTGGCGGGCGCAAGTTACGCATTTGCGCACATACTGCTGAACCAGAGATCTAGCACCTATTATCCAATAGGCTGACCTCAAGAAGTTTGACATTAACTGCGGACCCCCATGGAGCGTTTTTTCGTGTGCGTCTGCAACGATGAGATGAGTGAGATGGCTTGAGTGCGGTAAGACTATTGGATGTTTTGCTTGTTCATCCATCTGAGACTTTTCGAGTCGACCCCGAACTCTCATAATGCCTATTTTGTCAAGAAAAGGACACAATGATTTTAATTTATTTGGACTAGAATTGAAATTTCCCGTTTCCTTTAATTGTGTGTACTCAGATTTAAATGTATTCATTTGTGTCACCCTTATACAGGCTTGTAGTGCTGCCTCTATTTCATACTTTTTTAAATATGTGCTATCATGGTTGTCCCTTCTCAAAAATCGTCGACAGTATGCCACAACTCTAAGTAATTTACCTAAGCTAGAATATTTATCAAAAATTGGATTTTCTGAAACTACTAAATTGGTATGTACCTTTATCGTTTCTTCCAAATTTATTTCCAGATCTTTTGGCCTATTGTACTCAATAACTTTATTCTTTAAAAAACATGGACCGGTAAACCATAACTCATTATAAACAAGTGAACTAGGTAATAACCCTCTTGAGGCGCAGTCGGCAGGATTATGCTTGGTAGAGACATGAAACCATTGAGTTGAACTCATATTGCCCAAGATTTCCGAGGTACGGTTCGCTACGAACGTTTTCCACCTGCTGGGATGGCTGCTAAGCCACGACAGCACTACAGTGGAATCCGTCCAAGCAAAGATTTTCGTCTCTGGAATATTTAAGACCTCAGCTGATTCCACCAACACCTTTGACAAAAGTACTGCGCCACATAGCTCTAACCGAGGAATGCTGATCTGTTTGATGGGAGCTACTCTTGTTTTAGCTACCAATAAAGACACCTTAACGTTTCCATTAGTGTCTATTGTTCTCAAATAAACAACGGCCGAGTACGCTGCTTTCGAGGCGTCACTAAAGCCGTGCAATTCGAGTTCATTATTTGAACTTATACTGAGCCAACGGTAAGTACTCCACTCCGTTTTTAAGTTGGTAGTTAGTTCCTCATCCCAACTCACCCCTGCAAGCCATAACTTTTGTATAAACATTTTTGCTACTACGACGCTAGGAGCTAACCATCCTAACGGGTCGAATAAACGAGCTATGTCTGATACAATAGACCTTTTTGTTACAGGTGCGGTGGTCAGCGGCGGAAGATTTACGGAGTATTGGAAGCAGTCTTCGCGACGGTTCCAGGTAAGTCCTAGAATTTTTATTGTACTATCCAGCTTAATTTCTATGTCCTTCTCTACTATTTTCCTATCCTTGCCTATGATATCTTGTTTGTCCTTATCCTTGTTTTCCTCATTCAATTGCGTTTGGTCTAATTGCTGTACTTCTTCGATTCTACATATTGAACTTAGTTTATCTAACAATTGCTGATTATTACTGTTCCATTTCTGTAAAGTAAATCCTCCCTTTCCCAATAATTCTATCATTTGTTTACAGATTTCCACGCCTTCTTCTATGCTATTACTTCCAGTCATTAAATCGTCCATATAAAAACTATTTAGGACTTTAGCAGCTGCAAGAGGGTACTGATCTCCTTCATCGTATGCGACTTGATGGAGTGTTCTAACTGCCTGATACGGTGCAGAGGCTGTCCCAAATGTGACCGTTACCAGCTCATAATCTCCAATTGGTTGTTTGGGATCATTTCGCCAGAGTATTCTCTGGTATACCGTATCCTCATCGGTTACTCTAACTTGACGGTACATTTTAATTATGTCCGCTACAATACCAATAGCATGAACTCGCCAACGCAGAATCGTATGCCTCAAGTCCGCTTGCAGTGTCGGTCCAACCATTAGAGTATCGTTGAGCGACACTCCCTTTTTATTTTTTTCAGATGCGTTGAACACAACTCGGACCTTCGTCGTAATCTTGTCTTCTCTAATAATCGCGTGATGGGGTAAGTAAACCGCTTCGTACTTTTTATTATCTTCTTTCTTTACAGCTCTTAAATGTCCTAAGTGTAAATACTCATTGATTACTTCTGTATATTTTTGTTTCAAATCTATGTTCTTATCTAATCTTTTTTCTAATGATTTAAACCTTATTTCTGCTATGTCACGAGAACCTGCGGCCTTACATGCAGGATCATCGTCACGGAAAGGTAAGTGCACTATATATCTGCCTGTGTCATCTCGTTTAGTGGTTTTAGTATATAGTTCTTCGCATTTTTGTTCTTCTGGACTTAAGATTTTCTTTGTACTGGTTTGCTCTTCTAGCTCCCAAAATTTCTTGAGGAGTTGATCTTCATTGAACTGTGCGCAATGTACGCTTATATTATTTGTTGGTAAGTTTGAACTCTCGTTGCTTGTACTAACTACACCAGAAAGGACCCACCCTAGAGTGGTGTTTTGTGCCATAAGATTGCAGGATGGACTCTTCACTATACCTTCCTTCATGATGCAGCAATAAGCATCTGCTCCCAATAAAATATCTATTTTATTGGGTGTACCAAAATAAGGATCCGCTAAACATAGATTGTTTATATTAATCCAATCTATTGAACTAGTACTCACACTTCGTTCCGGTAAGTATGACGTTATTTTATTCAAAACATAAGCATTAAAGTTAAGTTGAAACGCGTGATCTACGGTAGACTTAATAGTTAAATTAACCATATACTTGGAAATGGTCGGTCTCTCGTGTCCCAAGCCTGAAACGATGCCTCTGACGGGAATTTTCTTTAATCTAAGAAATTGAGTCGCGGCCTCGGTTATGAAACAAGCCTGCGAGCCTTGATCCAGCAAGGCTCGGATTGTTTGAAAATCACCCAACCTATTCTCGGCCTTTATTAGCGCGGTGGCTAATAAAACCTGTTTAGGCTTGGGGATTTGACTTGTAGATAAACATGCCACTATTTGGTCACTAGTCGAAGCGCTAGTGTTGTCAACAGTGGACTTTGCAGTCACATCATGACCATCACTGTCTGCAGGCGGTTCCCTATTAGGGTGCAGCAATGAATGATGACGCTTTTTGCACACTCTACAGAACGTCTGTTTTTTACAGTCGTATACTGTATGGTTGCCTCCTAAACAATTAAAACAAATTTTATTCTTTGCAACAAACTCGCGCCGTCTGTCTGTGGATTGTTTTGCAAATTGTTTACAGAAGCAGAGTTTGTGGGGTTCCGAACAGTATTCGCAACGTATGTTGGACGACTTCGTGGCTAACATCGCTTTGGAATTGTGAATGTGTGAACTATGATTGACCTGGTGAGCCATAACCTTCCTAGGCTCGATGCATTCAAGCGCGCGGAACCGACCTTCAATAAACATTTTAAACTGGTCAAATGTGGGCAATTCATTACTTGAGTCGTTGGAAATACTCAACTCCCACTGCTTACGAGTCTCATTATCCAACTTGAACGTTACTATATGAATGATGATAACGTCCCATGTACTCACATCGATGTTTAGATTTTTTAATGCACTTAAACAGTCACTAGTGGTGTCCAACAATTCTTTTAATGATGTTGCTGATTCAACCATTAAACGTTTTTGGCCGAACAATCTTTTCAAAATACAATTGGTTAGGTACTTCTTATTAGCATAACGCTTTTCTAAATGCGACCAACATTCGCTGTAGTTGGCGTCTGAAATTGGCGTGTGTCTAATCAACTGCTCAGCTTCACCCGTGAGGTGGCTTTTGAGATAATGCAGTTTTTGAACATTATCTAACGACTTGTTATTGTGGACTAAAGAAATAAACAAATCATGAAAAGTTGTCCATTCACTGTATTTCCCAGAAAAAGTAGGAATTGTAATTTTAGGTAGTTTTACAAATGAATGAGATGATTTTGAGCTATTAGTACTATTGTTACAACTATTACTTTGCATTTGAGGCTCATTAATATTAATCTTATTAAGTGTTAATTTCATTAGAGATTTGCAGGTAATATAAATATCTTCAGTTGAATCATAGATATCCGCAACCTTTTGACTTACTATATCTTCAATTTTATATTGACCATAAAGTTGAGTCTTTGTATTTTTAAATGACGACCAATCATTTTCCAGTAATTCAAGTCTAGTCTGAATATATTCCACAGAAAGTCTTTCTTTTGGACTCTTTTTAAAATTAGTCAAAGCCTTTTGAATGACAGTTTGAAGGTCTTTTAAAATATTAATTTTGCCTTCCATCTTAGATAAACAAACAATAAGTGTAAAGTAACAAGTGTTTAAGACAAATTGTTAAAGTTCTTGATAAATGAAAACAATAAAATGTAATAATTTCCAAAGCTATTACAACTCGAAATTTTTGTAAGTCTCAAAAAAATCCGAAAATTTTTACAAGTGTTTGGGAACTAACTCAGCTCTGGTAGAAATCGGGCATGGATTCCCCGTTCCCCCGTTTTTTATAAAACTATTCTAAGTCCTAACATGCACTCTTAAAACTAAGTTAATATTATCAATAAATCTTAAAGTTAAAATGTTCATAGAAATACAGTTGAAAATTGCTTAACACCAAAATAACTATCTAAAATGTCCAAGTTAAAATCTTCCTTAAAATAAAGTTCAGATTCGCTTGACCGATTGCTTGTTTATTAATTGTCACTGCTACTGTTAAATGAATCAAATATTGTACTCACGATTGCACTTCACTCACACAAACACGTTGGTCGGTTGAACTGGAATGTACTAGTGGCGCCCCCTGTGGCGTCACTTTGAACTTAAACTCCCGGCTGCTATCGTCCACCTTGTTGAACGAAGCTGCCTCTCTTCAACTCGAAGATTGTTCTTGAGATGTACTACTGGTGGCGCCCTCTGTGGCGTCCCGTTGAACTACCAATCCCACCGCGCAGGCTGAGCCGTCCAACAAGTTAGACGAAGCTGTGGCGGCCTCTGCGGGATCTCCAGTACTTTGCCGCAGCGATCCACTGCGAGTACTTGGGGTGTGTACCAAAAAGTCAGACTATTCCGGGTCTGATATCCGGGCTCGATGGACCAATGTTTTTTACCGAAGTAAAGTTGACCTACTGTAGCTACTAATAGGGGTTAAATTGAAACTCCGTAATTAGTGCTTGACCTGCTGGTTTATATTTATATTCTTTTTGGTGCGAACTTACATCTCGTTGTACATACAAAAAATGACCATCTTAAGCAAATCGATGTAACGAAACCATAGCTTGCATTTAATCGCGGCAACGCCATCTAGTTATAAAAATTGAACTAAATTAATGAACTTGCATTTTATGGTTTCGTTACTTTGGTCTTGAGTTTTGGTCATCAACACAACCTCTCTTATCATCATACATTTAATCGATAAATAACCAGCACTTTAAAAAAATAATGCTTCACATACAAAGCATATTATTGTATGTTTGTTAAAAAGAAATTGGAATGAACAATTACATTGTTCTTTTAAGGTGTTGGAACTCATAAATTGTTATAAGACAATAATAATCGTTATCACTTTTTCTTTCCTTCGATGAGGCAAATAGTGATGTACTTATACCCACTTGCGTAAGTTATGAGTCTCATGTTAGAAGTTTATTTAAAGCCTATCGCTCTAATCCGATTTTAAACTGAATCTCGCCTATCATACACCACACACACCCAACAACGGACTGCGAAACCAAAATCAATAATACCTGAACAAGATCTACAAAACAAAAAGATGCCATATTCAATAAAAATATCGAACATTTCCTTCCAGAATTAATACCTCCAGACGTGAAATCAGAGCTGCACCGTATATACCTGTCCGGTGGCGAGCTACTCAGGGAACTGTGGCGATGCTTCCCACAGCCCGGCGCCGCCACGGACACAGAGGACGCCACGGCAAAAGCAGAGAAGTTCTACGAAGCACTGCTCAGATTTAGGAATGTTAAATTGAGGCCTTTTGAGGTAAGGGAATTAGACAAACAACTTCTTTTAAGTAAGCATTACGAAGGCCATCTTCTTATAATAGAATATAATAATCTTTATTGTAAACCATTAATAATATAGTACACTAGCGGACCCAACAGACGTTGTCCTGCATATCCACTTGAATGTATAAACAAAAATTAATTCAAATTAGTTCAGCTGTAACCTAAACATCGACTGCAGCGCCATCTGCCGGGCTGATTTGTGAATCTAAACCATTCCCAGATCCCCTTGAACACAAACAAAAAAAATCATCAGAATCGGTCCAGTCGTTTGAGAGAAGTTCAGTGACATACACACTCACAGAAGAATTATATATATAAAGATACAGAAAAGGAAATAACAAACATAAATAAGAAATAATAATGGGCACAAAGGCGGTCTTATCACTTACAGTGATTTCTACCAGACAACCTTTGGGTGTATAATTGGTTATAATGCAAAAGAAATATTTAGACGGGTTGTGTTCATCTTCTTCTCACCTGAAAGCTTTCAAAAAATAAGCTGGCAACTAACTTGAAATACTAGGGATAAAGATGTCCAGGGTTGGCGCTGATTGCTTACCATTGGGTACTTCTTTGACATATTTATCTAAAAAAAACCTTTTTTAGAAGAACTCGCTGCTTTAGGATATACTCCTATTACTTCTATGTCATGTGTCCTTCAGTAGACGTCTCTTGTCTTCTTCTTTTGGCACACAGGAGAAGAAGTTTTATTTTGGAATGTGATTTTTAGTTAAGAGTTGAATTAGGTAGTTTTCTAAATTTTATTTCAATTTAGACCTGTATTTTTCATTTCTCACAAAATTCTATACTTTTGACGTTATATTTATTTGAAATATAGTATATGTACGTCCTCCCACTCTTAAACTTAACTCCATTTTATGTAAGTATTGTAACTTTATATGAGAAAATGAAAAAATACTTGTCTAATAGTTTTTCATTATCTAACTCACGGACTGATTACATTTTTAATGTTCATACCCTAGCATCTACACTATTGCTCGATCTAAGAATCAATCCTAAAAACAAGATACTTCATTATGATCATTGAAAGATGTTTTTTGAGAAGTCTTTATTGGACTTCTTCCGGCTGATTGTGATTGAATTTTTCTTCTCTTTTGTTCCCAGGAGAAAATGCTCCGCGAATTAACGCCGCTAGCAACAACGTTGACGCGGCATATGAATCAAATGATAGACACAGCTTGCGCAAAGTACGCGGTCTGGCAACAACGCCAAGCCAAACTGCGGTAGTAGTAAGTTATACTCGTGTACCGTCAGCAGAATCAGTTCAAAATTTAAATAAAAAATTGTTATCGATTTTTTTTAATGCCATGTTAAATAATTTGGAATCTTGGAATGAGGAATTAAATTGTATTTTTTTATTTTGGTCGTTTTCTTTTTTTCAAATTTTCTTTGTGGTTTAGGAATATGTAAACTATAAACTGAGTTTTCCTAGTTTTGACAATTTATAGTGTTCATATTTAGTCATGTGTCTCCTAATGACTAGTTTTGATGTTGCCTTATAGATTTAGAAATACCTACTATCCTGTTTTAGTGATTAATTATAATTATTTTGGTGTAGTATAACGAATAATGTAACATAACAAATAAATGTTAGAAATTAGTGTTGCTGTTGACACGCAATTTAATCTACTCGCTGATATCAAAGTTTAATTAAAGAAAAAGATGACTCCTTAGTTAACTTATCAAAAAGTCACTTGAAATATCAAAAAATAACTAAAGTCCAAATAACCAGCTAATGACGTAGTATTAGGGGTTCTACACTCGCTTCAAAACATACTCATTGCATTTTAAGAATAAAAAAGTACTAAAGACTCGAATACACGCTTTATTACATTTAAACAAAGCAATAGTTAGAAAATAAATCAATATTTACGCTTCTCAACAGTTTCTGTGATAAATAAATGAAAATATAAATAAAGTTTTTCTGCTGACGGTATATTTTTTTAATAAATAAATTAATACGCGACCAAATTGTGAAAATTTCGTTTTAGGAACGTTTAGTGATGTGACGAGAGACCGAACGCATAATAATCTTTTTTTATTACCCGACTGTAAAAGAAGAGATATTTTTTTCTGTAACACACCTTTAGAACTGAAATTCATTTTGAAAAACAGACAATATTATTAAAACGAATGTGATAAATTACCTGATATAGTTCGGATGAATTTAAATAAACTTTTATTGTGATTATTAGCGTCTTAGAGCTTATCCATTGGAATCTTATCTACATTTTTTATTGAAGCATATTTAAGGAAATATTTTAATTTCCCAATTGTTTTGTCCTTTGATAAATACAGATGTTATATTTACCCCTTACTTGCGATTAGATTAAATGTAAATATTAGTAAATTGCGCACAAAATTCAATATGATCTGTTGCTCTAAGAATCTCATGATGAAAGTCCGTAAATGTACAGAAAAATCAACGCGATGTATTAAAAAAATGCTTTATAAGTCCCGGTTACAGTTTGCGCTATTGCGCAAACCGTTGCGCAAAAATTCCAGCGTTGCGCAAACTATTAGGTTATTGCGCTAACTTCTTGGTGTGCAAAATTGTGCGAATTTCATTTTGCACAAGTAACCAATTATATCTAAACATATGAACGCTTGCAAATCAAAACTGCCCCTGTAAATAGTTACTCCGTATATAAGACTGAATTTTTACAATCACTGTCCTTTTAAATGTTTTATTTATAATTTCTCGTCACATCTTAACCGTATTTGGCAAACAAATTATGTACATATGCCTGTCTTATGTATAAATAATAATCTGTGAATACCTAAATCATTTAGATATGTAAATTGGGACTCTACGGACGTTTGGACTGTTGGAGAAGTGGTTTTGACTTCGTTCAACTAAATTGAATAACAGAAATTGGTGTTTAGTAGCAGTATTTAAATTAATTTTAAAGAGGATTTTTTGGGAATGAATCTTACCTGAATTAAAACTTGTTTTCAACAATAGATATGATGTAGGCAATTTATGTTTTGTCATTTATAAGTGATGTTTAAAACCTATGGTAGTTTAATAAATTGCACTTTTCGCAAAGCAATAATAAACGACTAGTACAAATAAATAAAAACTACATCACAATCGTCTGATCGTCCGTATGAGAACCGCTTTAGTGTACGTAATAAAATATAATTTAAAATGAAAATAAATGCATTTTGATGAACCAAATCTAACTGAATTAATTAAAAATCGCGGGTTACTCTCGTGAATATACTGAGAAAAAAAAGCTCAACTAGTTTCGTAACAATACCGATGCCAGCGCCAACGCTAGCCGGTGCGGTGCTCATAAGGAAGAACCCCTGTATGGTTCGAAACTAGTGGAGCTTTTCTCAGTATATTCACGTGACTAACCCGCGATTTTTACTTAATTTGGTATGTCTCACGATAGTTATTATAAAAACAAATCTAACTGAATGAATAGTACTAATTTATTGTGTTTTCTCAAAGTGCTTGGGCGCGTTGATTGAATATTGTAATAATTCACACGCATAGCTATAAAACTGCATTGAATTTGCACCATACTCACTTGTTCCACCTCCATATAAGTACCCGATAAACTTATGTGATAGATAGATCATACAAATTACATTCTTAAATCTGGTACATACAATCTGGCTATCTAGACGGTAAGAAACAGGCCCTTGAAACTCTAAACATATGTGCCAAGAGATCATTTTGTGAGCTAACATATCAATAATGCTTTTGACTATTTGTTTGTTAATTAATATATTTTGTCAATTTAGTGCAGTTTTATGCGACTCAAGTGTTCATGCAACGAAATTGTTAGCAGTGCGCTCTTCAATGTGATTGTTGTTAGGTAAATATATTGTATTTATGTATTTTTGTTCTTGATTCATATTGAGATAACTTTGCCATTAGTAAAAAAACGGACAATGTCAAAGTCAAAGCATTTATTTCAATTAACTATAATTTGGTATTTTTGAAACGTTAACAAATACAAAATAAATAATAGGCTGTGCATCAGTGAAGCTAGCGTTCCAAAATGTAATTTCGAATGGAGAAGAACGATGAAGAAACTCCATTCGTTACTCTTTTAAAAATATGTTTTACAATATCTCTAATACATTATCTAATATTGTAGGTACAAGAAATGAAGACAATAAAAGAAAGAGATCGTTTATGTAATTATGTATATCAAAATTGTTTTACTTAAGATTGGTTGATTGAGTTAACTCTTTATATCTAGTTGTTAATAATGGTAAAAATAATTATTAATTATTTCGGGATGGTCAACCATAGTACCAGTCCACAGCAACCCATCTATATCCCTGCCTTTTTTTTCCCATTATCCACAATAGTTCTACACTAACCGGGGACTGTCCTTGGGTGCATTTCTATAGTGCATACGGGGAAAGTCGCCGATTTGTGTGTCCATTACATTTAAAGTTGGCCTCGGCCCCTCGTACGCCTTCCAAATGACCGGGACCCTATAGTCCCGTGAATGGTAGACACATAATAGTAAAAATAATAATTATGGCATCTCCTAACCTCGTCTTTCCATCCCCCTTCGTTCAGCAGTACCTAGACGTATTCTAGCCCATGATGATAATGAAAAGTTATGAAGATTAAGACTGAGGCTCAGGTTAGTAGGCTGCGCGTGAGCCGCGACCGCGCGACCGAATACGGTAGTTTCCTAAATTTTATTTTAATGTCCGTCTGGTATATTATTATAAAACCATTAGACACGTATTTTTTCATTTCTCATAAACTTTAATACTTTCGATGATATATGCATTTGAAATATCGTGTAACGACCTCCCACTCCTAAACTTAACGCCATTTTATCTAAGTATTGTAGCTTTATACAAGAAAATAAAAAAGTACGTGTAATAATTCATAATCTAACTGACGGACTAATTAGTTTTTTAATTTTCTTGCCCTGGCAACCCAATTACTTATATAGAAATCTGCTAGAGAGACGAGTTTCAAAAAGATAATGTAAGTGTTGATTATAAAGTTGTATGGAGTCCATAAAAATAAAATGTTTGCTCCATAAACCTTTTTGGTGACTGTAGATTGGCATCGAGTGTTGACTGCTAACAATTTCTGTTTTAAAACTAAATAGCGACATTCTAATACTCTAATGTTCCACATTGAACGTAACTGATGTAATAATAATAATGTTTGGCGACAATAATCGCATTATTTTATTATAGTATAAGTTGGAAATATCCAAATTATCTCGTTACCATACTTATTTGGTCAATTTTTTGTTTATTAATTTTTATCTGATTTCAATGGCTTATTATTGGATCGCACTTTTTATTGCATCGAGCGTAGTAGGAGTTTAATTACAGTAGTTCAAATTATTCTGTGTCAAGAAATTGCTTGAATGGCAACCACGAATTGGAAGGCATAGCGTTGGCACTTGGTAGGCCTCTCGCTTGGTAATTGGCGACGACATTGTCAGAGTCGCAGGGAACCATTAGAGTCCTTTTTTTATTTAAGGCAAAATTGGCATATGACCTAAATATAACTTCAAAAATACGTATCTTCATCGAATCTTAAAAAGTACCGCATTTTACTACTTCTTCAGTCGTCTAATAAAGCCATTGTTATCATGAGTTCTTTAGGTTAAAAAAATATGAAATTTTTCGATATGTTTAAGCATTAATGTTAATAGGTGTTACATACACTATTATATTAAATTTGATTGTTTTATTCCTTGTTTTTAATTTGTTGCGACACAAAATAGAATGTGACTAGTAGTGTTGTGACGTCCATGTGCTGTATCGATATTTTTTATCGACTTCCTTATGTGTTGTAGTTTAATTATTTATATCGATAAATTTGTGTTTTAATCTTCCACTAGTATCTGTTTAGTGTAATATTTATTTTAGATGTACAATGTTAATTTTTAAATATGTATGTATGTTTTCGCAGAATATCCAGACCTTAGCATAGCTCTTAATATGTAAAAAATGTTTAAAAGATTTCAAACTATATAGTCTTTTGCAATAAGGTTGAAAATCATTTAAATGCATTGGGATATATTGTAATGCTGTTTTCCATACAAGTGTTGCTTCTATTTTGTGTCAAAATTTAAAATTACTTATTGAAATTATGTTAATTCAGTTTTGAAATTATGAAATATTTTTAGATCTCTTAGATATTTGCGCCCGTTTGTAATTGATATTGTTTTTCGTATGTTTTGGAATCAGGTTCGTTGGGCGAGTGAAAAGTTTTGAGACCTGTAAGACTAGCAGATTACACTATAAAGTGCATGTAACATAAGCTATGATTCATTCCATGTCATTAACAACATTACGTTTTTAGTAATTGAACCATCACTATGTCTGAGTTATATATAAACCTAATTCCATAAAGGAGGTACCCAGTTTTAATCAGTCCACGATTATCTAGCAATTGGTTTTAGCGATTTTGATACGATTTTCAGTGTTTAATACCGTGGGCTCAAAACTTTTCAGCCACCTTAGTAATTTTCATTGTTTTAATATTGGCAATGTCTTTAAAAATTAAAATTGTAATAAAACGGGTGTCTATATAAATAAAAATGTTCCTGAAGCAATATCTTCTTAAATGTCTAAGGGCTTAGTACGAAATTTGTTTTACGTATAAATTAATCGAGACGAGACCGCGTTAGGTGCTCTTATTGGTTGGTTCATTGAAGCCGGCCAATCAATGCGCCGAACGCGGTCTCTTTTCGATTACTTTAAACATAATAAAAGTCGTACCAATGCCTCGTTATCATTAAGTTTTATTTTTTAAAACTTATTCATTTGTGATAGTATACGTAAATGGATTATTGTTCTAGACCTAGTGCACAATATTCTTATTATTTCATACATTTCTATGCCCTTTAAAAATAACGTTGTTTTTCAATAGTTTTATTTAGCTTGCCCCGTTGTTTGGAATTTAATCCACTTCCTGACGACAGATCGATCTGATATTTAGTACACACAGCACAGTCTTGATGACCATACAATATTATCTAATTTTTACACAACTACCTCCATCATGGAAGTTTAACAGAATGGCTTGATTGCTAGATTAGAGCTCATTAAAACCGTTGAACAAGAAAAACATTTTATATGTACCATTTTCAATAGAAGCTTCGTGCTTGAATTATCAATTCTGAGATTACGTCGAGTAAATAGCAGTACTGTGTATAATATTGTGCACTAAATAAATAATTGTATAGTAAATAAAATGGCGTGCTGTTTCATGTACGTGCACCCAATAGATCGTTATTACTATTTTTCTTTTGTCTAGTTCTTCAGTTTAATTTAAATACAAAGATATGATTCGGTAACTCTGTTGTTTCATTTTAAACCTTTTTGTGAAGATATAAGAGTCCAATATCGTAAAGCAATACATTAATGACTAAAATTATTTAAATTAGACTTTATTAATTTGGTGATGAGTTTATTTTGCATATGAATGTGAAAGAAAACAGTTTCTGACAAAGATTTATTATAAATATGTTTTACAAATTTAACGAAATACAGGTTTAATGTGTTTTGTTAAAAGCATTTATCAGAAATATTATTGTCAGCATTATATAGGCCTAGACGGAAAAACAGAATCAATTTTAGGTGTACTGTACAGGTAGTATATGTCTCCGTTGTAGAAGCAAGGAATTATATACCAGTGAATTATGAACCCTATTAACAAAAACAAATGCTTTTAACAAAACATAGAAACAGTGAATACGATAAGTGCTATAATGAGTTAAAACAGCCTTCTTGCTTACTAAAATAATAAATATTACAAATAATTAATAATGCTATACATTTCTATACAAGACTTACAGTCTATGTTAGTTACAATGAATATGAGTTTCTTTATATGAGAAAATTATCAATACAGTCAAACATAAATAATTTTGAATTTCATTGCATTTTTTTATCAAATGCGTATCAAAAACAACCAATAATTTGAATATAGGAACAATTAAAAAGAAAGAAAAAGATGCATGATATGACGAGTGACGTCATCAACATTTCAGTGTATGAATATGAAAGAGATAGATACAGGGCACTGCTTCCAGTGTTCACGAGAAAATTATCTTTTTTAAGTAGATATATTGTGTTAAATAATGTGTAAGAAAATGCTATTGATGAAGAATAATAGTATGAATATGATGCTGCCTTGCAAAATTAGAACTATGCATCTAGTCATAAGTTTTTATTGAATAGAATATTTGTAAAATTACATACTTTTATTTGTTAATATGTATAAAGCCTGAATGAGGGTAAAACCTGTAAAGAATTTTTCGTTCGTTGAATCAATCTAATTTTTTTCTCCATTTTTTTAGTTTGCGCAAACTTCCATGCGCAAGTCCATCGATGCGCAAATTTTTGCGCAATTGCAATAAAGTCTGATTATGCAATACATAACTTTGGAATGTTAAAAAATTAAACATGTGATAAGTAAAATTGTTTAATAATACGCCTACAATAAAATTCTAGCTACGATTAATATAATAATAATAAAACTCAACTATAATTCAGTATAGTAATGCCAACAAAACGAAATAACTTCTACATCGCACAAAAATGTACCTCATCACTTCGACTAAACGTTAATTTTTCATTACATAGATTTTTTATATTGGTACGAGTGAAAATTATCTTTATTGCATGGTGTTAAAGTTTATATTGTCCCGTTTACTTTGTCTTATTGGCACTACTTTACGATACATAACGCTTTATATACAGCAGTTATTATATATTTTTTAAATTAACCCGTAGACTGACACTTCGTAAAGATCTTTGCTCAAAATGACGTTGATTCTCTTGAACGTATTAGTATTTTTTGTTAAGGGGGGAAAATTATCGAATGGCTGCTGCCGCTTGCGTGAGGCGGAAGGGAGTGTCAGACTCTTACTGACTAAAAACCACCCCGTTCCTTCTCCTGCACGTCGAGCCGGAGCCCCGGTAACCCGTTAGGTAGCTATCCCTTTTTAACATTAAGAAAAGGAAAGAGACAGAATACAGACTGGAATGCTATTATTAGTAATATTGATGATTTTGGAAATTTTGGTTAAATATTATTGCTAGCTGACTTCGAATCGCCTAAAACACTTTTTCACAAATATTTTGAGACCAAATCGGTTCAGCCATTTTTGAGTTTAACGAGACTAAAGAACAGCAATTAACTTTAATATCATATTATTATATGTGATTGAATATTTTTTTTACCAGTATTAAGAAATGTGTGTTTAACCCATCGTGTGTCTAAACGTGGATCCACGCGAGACACAATGTATTTTCTATTGTGTCAACATTTTTTTTAATGTAAACAAGAGAATCGTTGCCATAATATTTCTGTTCTTGCCAGTACAGGAATTATGACAATATTATTATGATTATCATATCAGTGTGAAAGAGACAGACGTATGTATATCATCACATATTTCCATCTTCTTCACAGTAGAACTAGCTCGCGTAGCTCTAACACGTCGTCAATTCTATCTTTTATCCCTGTCTAATAAAAATATTTCAAATAGAAAAAAGCAATTCAATGAATTGGGTATGCTTTAGGCAAGAATATTGACTCAATTATTATGAAATTCATATTTATTATAACATTAGACAAATGGGGTATTGGCAATTAGTTAGTAACTTGTCAATTAACAGCCTAGGCGGTTTATTGAATGATTTTCTTTGTAACTAGATAAAAATTAATCAATTAGGTTAAATTTTAACTATCAATATAGATTATTATGTCGACTATTGCTGTATGCACAAAATATTTAGGCTTATTAATCCATTTATCATCTTAAAATAGTCCATTAGGCATATTATTGCTGTTTATTTTGTAATATGAAACGCTTAAGGCAATTAAATTATCATTTCTGTGCACACTAGATAGCACCACTATCGAATAAGATCCTGCAATTGAATCACAGTTTGAGTCAACATTTTTTATTTACAGACCAAACTCGACACTAGCGCTCCTAGCGGTTGTAAATCGAAATTACTGCTAGCTTCAATTTGTCTAATGCTACATTTTAACATAGCGTGTATATTTAATAAATAAATACATTTAAAATATTCTCCTCCATGTCGGTTACTTACAAACAAATCGTTGCTTTCTCCACACATCGGATATATAGATATCTCATCAAGGGTAAGATTAGGTCTTACCATTTTGAAATTCATGGGTTAATACTGTGTTTTGGGGGGTAAGCAGTCTATCTGAACGCTTTGATGACCCATACGATTAATATGATTGCAACGATGACGCCGATGATGATAAGTATCATCATTTTTCTTCTGTATCTGCGTTGATATTCTGCTGCCTTTGCTAGTTCGTCGACGCCGGCTTCCACGTTCGCACCGGCTGATTCTATGTTACTTTCTACGTTATCTGTAATGGGATAAAGTTATTGTTATGTTTGTTAACTATTTTTTCTTTGAAGGTTTTTAGAGGTGTAATTAAAGTGCCAGTAAAATGCTGGGCAGGTCAAGATAATTTTCAACATTGTAATAAAATGTTGAATGTCGTTGGCCGAGTGGTCGCAAGTGCGACTGCCGGGCAAGGGGTCTCGGGTTCGATTCCCGGGTCGGGCAAAGTATTACTGGGTTTTTAAAAAATTCTCAGTAGTAGCACGGAGTCTGGAAATGTGCCCGGTATATGGCAAAAGGCTCACCCCCTATTACATGGGACTCATAACATAAATAGTGAAAAGTGGGTGTTACATTGTACAGTGGCATAATGTGCACCTCTGCCTACCCCTTCGGGGATAAAAGGCGTGATGTTATGTTATGTGTAATAAAATGTAGCGGAGTCGATTCCCGCACGGAGCAACTTGTTGTGTGATCCACTAATTGTTGTTTCGGGTCTGGGTGTCATGTGTATGTGAACTTGGGCAAAGTTGAAAAATAATTCTGAATTTGTATTGTAACTTTCGTGAGACATCCTTACTAATATTATACATCGGAAAGTGAGTTTGTTTGTTTGTTTGTTCCGCTTTCACGCCATAACTACTAAACCGATTGCTTTGAATTTTTGCAGACGTAAAGTTAGTCCGGATTAAATAATAACTCGGAAAAATTATTTTCTTTTTAACCCGGAAAAATTGATATTCCCGAGGAAAAACAAAAGTATTGGTATAGATGGCGCTGTATGTATTGGTATATGCCACATAAGCTACTTTTTATCCTTTTGTGACGCGAGCGAAGCCGCGGGTAAAAGCTAGTTTTCTATAACTTACCGACAGACTGTGCTTGCTGGTTAACCATATCAGCGAGTTCCTGTATGATTTGATTCACGTCGAGTACATCGGCTTCTATCTTGTTGATATACGCCTCTTTCTCAAGCAACATGCTCGTCTCGAACTGGACTAGACGAGCCTGAAATACGATACAAATGTAAGGTAATTAAGAAAAGTTTTACAGGACCAATTGTAAGCATCTTATGCCTTTTTGGGGGGGGGGGGGGGGGGAATCATCCAATGACTTCTCCCGCCTGGGTGAGGCGGGAGGGAGTGTCAGACTCTTACTGACTAAAACCACCCCGTTCCTACACCTGCACTTCGAATCGGAGCCCCGGCAACCCGTTAAGTCTTCCGCGGCTCCGTATCGGCATCAGCCTTGTTAGGCCCCATCTGTGGTGGTCTGAAGCATCTTATGCCTGAATACTAAAACATTACTCAATTTTAAGTCGTGCTTAAATATCATGCCATCTCTGTCATTTTACAAAGAATTTGTAGAGACAGAACTATTCTTAAGCGTAACTTAAAATTGAGTAGCGTTTGAGCATTCCGACATTGGATGAATGAATTCTAAGTGGAATCTGGAATTGTAATTATTTTGTTTGTAGTGAGTGTAACTAGACTGCCTCGTTGGCCGGCCGAGTAAAGGGTCTCGGGTTCGATTCCCGGGTCGGGCAAAGTATTACAAAAGCGGTTTAAAAAAAACTCAGTATAAAAAAGACTCAGCACGGAGTCTGGAAATGTACCCAGTATATGGCAATAGGCTCACCCCCTATTACATGGGGCTCATAACATTAATAGTGAAAAGTCAGTGTTGCCTCTGTGTGCACCTCTGCCTACCCCTTCGGGGATAAAAGGCGTGAAGTTATGTTATGTTATGTAACTAGTTCATTTAGGAATAGACTCGATCTAAGAATTTAAGTGTAAAAGAATTTTTTTAAATTCTATAATTTGTCTCTTAATGATATAATAATAAAGCTTATCCACATGGGAGAAAGGCGATATGAGTGACGATATGGAAATATATATCATAGTATAAACATATACTCTACTACTTACACTAATTTAGAAAACGCGTGAGTTTTGTCATAAAGTTATGTCTAAAATCATAGAAGATCATTTGAGACCTTAGTAAAAGTAATCGCAACGAGACCGCGTTGGGCACTCTGATTGGGTGGTACATTGGGGCTAGCCAATCAGAGAGCTGGACGTGGTCTAAGCCCTCAGATGATAATTTATTCACCTGTGCCTGTTGGTTAGCAATGAGCGTGGCCTCTTCATCATCAGCAATCGCTTGGTCTTCCATCGCTTGTGGGTCGTTGCGCACGCGCGGCGGTCTCGGCATATGTGCTGCCATCTTTTCAGATACTTGCTGTGAATGTAAATAATAATTAAAATATGAGTAAGGATTTCAAGGACAGTTTTTCCACATACGTTACATGTAGCATTTAAAAACAACTGTCAGAAAAATAATTTTCAGTGTGGGATAACCATGCCAACCTTCGGCATGAATGGGCCGGTTCGACCGGTATGATACCACGGCCTCACAGAAAACCGACGTGAAACAACGCTTGCATTGTGTTTCGTCGTGTGAGTGAGGTTACCGGGGCGAATTACACCCCCTCTCCAGTCTCCCCAATCCCCGAATCCCCCAGAATCCTCAAATTCCTAATTCCAAAAGGCCGGTAACGCACTTGTAACGCCTCTGGTGTTTAAGGGGTCCATGGGCGACGCTGATTGCTTACCACCAGGAGATCTGTCTGCTCGTTTACTGGCTCTTATCCCATAGAAAAATTTATCAAATAGATAGATTTTAATCCCCTTCTACATTTATGGGCAAAATTTTGCTCTCTTTCATTTGGTACTATAATACTACCAGAGAGTAAGAGAGTGATGAAACGAGATATCGATAAACGATAGCAGGCCATAGTGAATCGAATGACTGCTCCCGCCTGGGTGAGGCGGAAGGGAGTGTCAGACTCTTACTGACTAAAAACCACCCCGTTCCTTCTCCTGCACGACGAGCCGGAGCCCCGGTTACCCGTTAGGTTCTCCGCGACGAGGCCATTGTGACCTTAGCTCTTCAAAGGAAACTCATCCTAGTTTCCTAATCTGCGATAAAATTACTATTCCTATTACCCACCTTCTGCACAGAAGAGTACTTCGCAAGAGCCTCAGTGAAGGCCTGTGTGAGCCTTTCAACTTGAAGTTTCTGTGGCTTGTCTCCCCTTCTGACGACTACGCCTAGCCGCTGAATGTCGCGCGCGGTCGCCGACACTGATCCATTTACAGTCTGTTGTGTATCATGGCTGGAAGGTCGAGAATTATTGATTAATTAAAACAAGGTATTTGTACTGTTATCTGTTATTATTGTTAGGGTTACATCATAATGCCACGCTTTTTAATTCACTTGGGAATGTGGCTAATGGTACTCGGTTTTCGCCATTTATGTTGAAGTTCTATATAAATACTAGCGGATCCAACAGATGTTGTCCTGCATATCCACTTGAATGTATAAATAAAAATTCATTCAAATTAATTCAGCTGTTTAGGATAAATAAATAACCTAAACATTGACTGCAGCGCCATCTGCCGGGCTGATTTGTCATTGTGAATCTAAACCATTTCCAGATCCCCTTGAACACACACAAAAACTTTCATCAAAATCGGTCCAGTCGTTTGTGAGAAGTTCAGTGACATATTATACACTCACAGAAGAATTACATATATATAAAGATTGAGCCAGTCTGTCACCATAATGGGGATGATGACAGGGTATGAAAATTAAAAATATAATTAGTCCGTAAGTTAGGTAATGAAAAAATATTAGACACGTTTTTTTTTATTTTGTCGTATAATAAAACAATACTTAGATAAAACGAATCAAAGTTTAGGAGTGGGGGCTTTAGCCCGTCATTTCTTAGTATAAAATGTACTGAGAAGTGACGTCACGCGACATTTCAAATCAATATATCTTCGAAACTATTCGTTTCTGTGAGAAAAGAAAAAATACGTGTTTAATGTTTTTAAATAATCTATCAGACGGACATTAAAATAAAAATTAGTCGTCTACCCTATTCGATCAGAAATTCAGAGTATACATGAAACCACTCGACTTGACGAAAGGAGCAGTTATTGTTACTGATACTCAGATAATGAACTAAAAATATTTTCTTCTAACAACTTTAAACTCAGGATTCATATTCCTTGCTCTTGTAGAGAAAGTTCTTTCGTTTTAGGCTCATATGAACCTATTACATCATAAGGCAACATAGTAAAGCGATAGTAAGTGACTGCGGTCTACAGTTGTGTAAATTCCAAAAGATTGCATGAAATTGGTACTAAAACGCCCATATATAAATCTACTTACATTTTATCCCTCAACTGCACACTATCGTTGGGTCCACCAATCTGTTTCATCATCTTCTCCAGCGACTTAAGCCCACTGTTGATGCTGTTCACATTGTCCGCTATACCCTCGCTCAGGTTGTATAGCTCTGTGGGACTGAAGTCTGCAAAGCTGACGTTGGGGACTGCTGCCGTCGCCCCATAGTCCCGGCTTGAACCGCTGATTGGTTCTCGTTCTGCCATTTTTGTAGCTGTTAAAAATGAAGTATAGATTAATTACACTTTTTTAGTACTTGGAAAAACGTATCAAAATCGGTATATCCGTTTAAGAGCTACGATGACATAAACATGCTGACATTGGCGTTGAACTTTGAACTGGGATTAGGTTTTACTGTGACCAACTCTGTTATTTTTCGTAATCAAGGCAGGTTGAAAGTAAGGCGGATGTGTCTTAAAACAATGACTGTGGCTCCTGGCTGCTATAAAGTTACGCAGAATATACACACATTGACACTTGGGACATCAGTTAATTTTCTAATGTCCAGTTTCAATAACCGATTTAGATTGTAGATTTGCTTACTAGAGATAGAATTTTAACACTTTTTGTATGGAGCTCATGGTTCAAAATTCAAGTCAAAATTGGACGAAGTCTGGTAACGCACACAAATAAACCACTGACATTTTGGTGCTTAAATCATTTCTAAGTGACATTATGCCCGTCTTTTCTTCAATGTCCATGTCCGTAATAAACGGACAAACGGTCAACAAATTCTATAATAGTGAAATAGCACTTATTCAGTATCTAGAAGAGAAAATCTAATACAACCATTGCATGAGAAACTTAACTTAGTAACAAAAACATTATCGCAATAAAAAATATCTCAAGGACTTTTATAAACGAAAGTTTTCTTCGATATTTTTAAAGGTACCCTTATCAGTGTTATGACTGTGAATTAATTTTAATAGTAACCATATTTACATAATAAAATATACTAATGAAACCGCGATTGAATTAATGAATAACAGATATGAAGGACAACTGCTATAATATGATAATAATAATTACGTAAAACTTCTTCTGATAGCGTTTCAAATTAACCGAATTCCGATGTCAGTTTATTGGAATTTTATCTTTATTTAACTAGCGAAAAAGTTTAATATAGTATACCAGTTATGGTGACAGATGGCGATATTTTTTTTATGGCTTAAGCCGGTAAGCTAGCAGACGGATCACCTGCTGGTAAGCAATCGGCGCCGCCATGGACACCTGGAACACCAGAGGCGTTACAAGTGAATTGAATGGGAATTTGAGGATTGTGGGGGAGGATATGGGGATTGGGTATTGGGGATTGAGAAGACTGGGGCCCCTCCGGTAATTGGTCCTCCGAATATAGATAGACTAGGCTGGGCGACATCGCCGCGACTGCGCACGCGGCTTATGAGGAAGAATCCCTCTGTGGTTCGAAACTAGTAGAGCTATTCTCAGTATACTTATATTCACGTGAGTAACCCGCGATTCTTAGTCCGAATATAATTAATGTCGCCACGTGCTATTGGAGAGGCCTAGATTCGGTAATGGACAGGACGGATTGCTGATTATCTATAATGAGCTATTGCTAAGGAGTACAGGGTTATTACAGTGGCTCTTGGGCAACAAGTTGCGTGTTCAAAGAAAGATTTTCTGTGTCACACAAACCCTTGTTCCGGGTATCGGTGTAATGTGTTTGCGACTTTTTACGTTTCCATGACGCAGGAGTAAATTCTTGTGAGGGGCCATGTTTTTTATTAAAAAGGAGACCTTGCTCGGCAGTGACCTAGCCACACAAAATTTTTTATCGACATCTTTAAATAACTACACATTGACGCAAGTATAACATCTTAAAGTTAAATTAATTCAATCCTTACTAATATTATAAATCGGAAAGTGAGTTTGTTTGTTTGTTTCGACTTCACGCCGTAACTACTAAACCGATTGCATTGATTTTTTGCAGACGTAAAGTTAGTAGTCTGGATTAAATAATAGGGTTATCCCGAAAAAATTTGATATTCCCGAGGTAAATCAAAAGTATTGGTGTAGATGGCGCTGTATGTATTGGTATATGTCACATAGGCTACTTTTTATCCTTTTGTGACGCGAGCAAAGCCGCGGGTAAAAGCTAGTATTAAATATACGTCTCAATTTGGAATTCACATGAATAATATTAAAATGGCCTTATAACTTTTTTTTTATACCAACCAACCGGTGGCAAAAAAGCACACGGCCCACCTGATGGTAAGCGGTTACCGTGGCCTATGTACGCCTGCAACACTTGGGGCATTACATGCGTCTTGCCTACCCCTAAGAAACCTATTCACTGCCCTCTTGAAGAACCTCATGTTGTATTATCGTTATTTTTGGTTTGCATAAAAAGTATCCTATGTCCGTCTCCTAGTTCTAAGCTAACTTACCACTAATTATCATCCACATCGATTTAGCTGTTCTTGAGTTATAAATAGTGTACCTTAACAATTACTCTGTTTATTAAAAAACCGCATCAATATCCGTTGCGTAGTTTTAAAGATCTTCGCATACATAGGGACAGACAGACAGCGGGTACCGACTTTGTTTTATACTATGTAGTGATATATACAAATATAGATAGTTTATTTTAAAAATACTTTGTTTAATTAACATCTATTTACAAGTTCATTATCAATATTGAAAGGCAATTAATATCAATGGTTATAATTAATGTGTAAAGGAAGACATTATGTGTTAAGATAATAAAAAAGTGCAATGAAGTGAACTAAAGGAAAATAGTATTGTAAATAAATACATTTATGGCCATATAAAAATTTGAAGTCATTGTTTTCTTGTGGTAACTATTAAAATTGGTATAATTAATTTAAATTCCAGATCCATTGCCAATAGCGCTTCAAATAGTGTGTACCCAGATGGCACCGCACACGGAGGATCCGCTATACTTGTAAAAGAAAATATCAAGCACTATGTTAACAATTCTCACCGCAGCGAGGAAATCCAAGCCACCATCATCACCATAGAAAGCTCTAATGGCCCAATACAAATATCTGCTCTTTACACTCCCCCTAAGCATAAATTGAAATCTGATCAATATACATCATTCTTTGGCAAACTTGGCAGCAAATTCATTGCAGGAGGGGATTATAACGCCAAACATACCGACTGGGGCTCAAGACTTATCACCACAAAGGGTCGAGAACTCATGCAAACCATCCAAAAGTTAAATCTAGGCTACACATCTACTGGGTGCCCAACATACTGGCCTTCTGATCCAAAAAAGAAACCAGACCTGGTAGACTTTTTTATTACCAAAGGTCTTTCTAGTTTGGCTTTGCTTTGCCACCCTACTTATGACCTATCTTCGGACCACACAGCCATTATAGTGAAGCTCCAAAATGACCTCGTGGAAGTTGTCAGACCCTGCAAACTGCACTCAAGGAACACCAATTGGGAACTTTTTAGGGAAATTGTAGAAAATTCACTTAACGAACGCGTTCCTCTCAAATCGGACGAGGACATTACAGCAGCAGTAGAGATCTTTAACCAATGCGTTCAATCGGCTGCTTGGGATGCCACTCCGCTCAGACGAGCTGTGAATACGATTCCCTTGTATCCGCAAATCGTTACGGATATAATACAAAGAAAACGACGCGCAAGGAAACTATGGCAACAAACTCGACACTCTAGTGACAAGAAAATACTAAACCATCTAACCAAGCAAGTGAAAAATCCTCTTGACGATAAAAAACAAAAACCTGGAAGATCGTCTGTCTAAAATGGATGCAACATCTGCTACTGATTACTCGCTTTGGAAAGTGACCAAATCTCTGAAAGGACCAATTGAGTTCCAATCACCTTTACGACGGGATGACGGTTCTTGGGCTAAAAGTGACACAGACAAATCCACACTATTTGCAGAACACTTGTCTAGAGTGTTTACTCCAAATCCAAGTACGGGTTCAACAAAGGTGGGTGAAGTAATGGAGGCTCTTTCAGCACCGCACCAACTTGCACTCCCAATCAAAAAATTCACTAAAGAAGAGGTTACATCTGTAATCAGGAAACTCAACCTGAATAAAGCGCCTGGTTATGACCTTGTTACATCTAAGGTGATGAAAGAACTCCCTCACAAAGCAATAACCCTATTAACAGCTATTTATAACTCAATCTTAAGATATGAATACATCCCTGCTCAATGGAAAGTAGCAGAAATTATTGTCATTCCAAAACCCGGGAAGGATCCGGAAAATGTATCATCATATCGACCGATAAGTCTCCTGCCTGTTGCCTCAAAAATAATGGAAATTCTTATCTTAAAACGACTGACTCCAGAGCTTGCGAAAGCCAAATTAATCCCTACTCATCAGTTTGGCTTTCGCAAAGCTCATGGGACAATTGAACAGGTGCATCGGTTGGTTGAAAAGATAAACCATGCCTTTGAAAACCAGAAATACTGCTCAGCGGCATTCTTAGACATATCGCAAGCCTTCGATCGTGTGTGGCACGAGGGACTCTTATTTAAAATCCTACAAGCCTTACCAATCAACTTCTATCTCATCATCAAATCATACCTCCAACAACGACATTTCTATGTAAAACATGGAGAAGCCAGAAGTAATCTTTATAAAATCCAAGCAGGTGTTCCTCAGGGCAGCGTAATGGGTCCTATCTTATACCTAATATATACTTTTGACCTACCAACTTCCGACGACGTCCTCATAGGGACATTTGCTGATGATACTGCTCTTATTGCAGCACACGACTGTCCCGTGGCAGCGTCCGACATGCTGCAAAAAAGCCTTAATGACGTTTCGGCCTGGTTAAAGGATTGGAGAATAAAAGCTAATGAATCCAAATCTGTTCACGTAACTTTCACTCTCAGACATGCATCATGTCCCCCAGTTGTTTTCAATAGCATAACAATTCCTCAGTTGGACGACGTGCGATACTTGGGAATATACTTGGACAGACGATTAACTTGGAAGAAACATATATTCACCAAAAGGAAAGCCCTAAGTACACAACTTCGAAATCTCTACGGGCTCATGGCACGAAAGTCAAACCTGTCACTAAGCAACAAACTTCTCCTCTACAAAGCTATATTAAAACCAATATGGTCATATGGAGCAGAACTCTGGGGAACGGCAGCCAACTCAAACTTGGACATTTTACAACGCTTTCAATCAAAAATGCTTCGAATGATTGCAAATGCCCCATGGTA